GAAGTCCACCCCAACGCTTACTTACCACAGACGTTGTATCAAATGCTCCAACAAAAATGGCATTCCACAGTTGTTCGGTCTTTGGAAAAACATGAAGTGAATTTCTTAAAATAGGGAACCAAAAATTAAAGCATAACCTATGGTAAAAAAAACTTTTATTTCAACGTTTACTCAAGATCATTGCAAGTTCAGTTACTCCAATATTTCGCTATTGACCGTGAGTCATTATCAGTAAGATACTTTTTTATATAGTGTGGAAAATACGGTGAAAGTGGAGGGATTAGAGCTACTGTACAGCGCCCGGCTTATCTGGGTTGTAAGTGCTTGAGCCTTAAACTAGAAAGTGTTGATCTAAGGCTATACCCCGTTGTCCATGAAAAGCAACTTTTTCAGCTTCAACTACGTTTATCGAGGCTACATTTTTAGCAGAAGAAGGGGCATAGTAACTGAATCCTTTTAGTGTCTTTCTTAAAAACCCAAGGGTTTATATCCATAGAAATTGTCATGGTGGGCTGGTCTTTCGAAAAGTTACGAATAGATAATGCAACATAAAAATATCGGCTGTAACGACTGGACTAAATTTGGAAGAAACTATGCCAGGCCGATATTTTCGAATTTACAAAGTTCTTTGGGAAGAATCATAAGCCACATCGATATATTAAAATACAGCTTGATAGCAAGTGTTGAGTGTTGAGTGTTGAAAATGAATAAACATGTTTATTCATTTTCTTTGTTTGTGTCCGGCTAAGACTAGCCATCATGCTGCAGTTTAATATATCGAAAGTAGTCTATTGATCACAGACTTGGTCACACTCTTTGGGGAATGAACTAATCTCTCTCTTGCTTTTCTCAGAGGCCATTTTGTGGTGGTGAGTGGAGCTAGTACGTTCGTGGTTCATTCTCGTTGATACTGCATATCAGTGGCATATGACCCTTACAGAGGTGAAACTGAAACGCTGGGCTTAGCACGCGCAAGGAACATTACAGGAAGGCTTTGTTACTGAACTTGTTATTCTCAAAGTTTGCCAAAAAAAGGAAATCTTAAGGCTAATTTTTCAAAATACTGAAAAACAAACAAGACCAGGAAAAAGTGCTCTCCAAGAGGATTAATTTGCATAGTGGCAACACAGGATTTCGTCGACAGTCTTAAAAGTAGACCCATTCTAAATAAATAAATAACTAATATATAGCAAAATATGTAAGAACAGTTGCAGTGAAGAATTGAAGAGTTTTCGTTTGAATGATTTCGCCCAGAATCATAGAGTTAGAACTACATTCTAAATAAATAGCACTCCTAAGTGTAGGTACGGCTGAAGAAGCCGTTTCGTTTGAATGATGAATTCGTCTTAAGTCAAAAGTTAGACTGACTACGTTCGAAATAAATAGAAACGTGTACAAGAACAGCTGAAAAGGTTTTATTTTTCAATCGTCCCATTAAAGGATTTCCTTAGACTCAAACGTTAAGACCGTATATCACATGCCTCCACAATCACCTAGTGTTACTGATATATATAGCAGAAATAGAGAACTAAAATAAACATATTAGTATCCATGACCTTGAAATTCGCACGTGTTCTTTCAACTATTGTAGACATTATATGAAAGAAGCAGTTTTTTAGTTGATAGTCTTGTACTGTGTAAAAATAGTTCACATTCTTAATCTCCTATTTCGCCAGTTATGAGGGCTTCACATTGAGATAAAAACTGGCTGACTAGGAAACATGCTGTGAGCGTGCATCCTACAAGTCTATTCACGTTGCTGTAATCAGTCTAATGGGAATTACCTATAGTTTATCTCCAGTGTGTTATTTCAAAGAAAATAAGCGGCTATTTTAAGACACAACAAGGGAAAAATCCACCACAATATACATACCCCTCAAATCATTTTCTTTATCCCTTATATTGATTGCGACTCTGCCATAGACTTTTAAGATAGTTTATGTGCACTGGAAAGAAATGAAAGAAACTGAGAAAGGAATAACCTCGTGCGTCCGATAAAATCTTTAGTCACTACTCGAAATAGTAAAGGAATTTGAAAGAAAGGATGAGCTACTTTCGATGAATAGTTCTCAGGATGGATGGATACTTCAGGTTGGGCGTTAAAAATATCAACGGAGAGTCAAAGTTGAAAAAGAGTAGGGGAGTTACAATTGTTTTGACGCCCTGGGCGCCCCCCCCCGGATGGAACTCTTCAAAGAAGCCCCCTACCCCTAGGGTTCTACCGTTGTGTATTTTTATGTCATTCATTTTTTTCTCTTAACAACGTTTATAAAAATAGCTAAGAATACAGCACATCTCTCCTCGCTTCTTACCGCTTGTTTTTCCGAAGAGATAACACGATCGAATATCTTACATCCGGGATCTGGCCTCAAACCCCTGAACTGAACAACACGAACTTGGGCCACCCCTTATCTCGCTTCTTTTCCTGATCGATCTTGCATGCCCTTTTTATCGAAATTTCTAGAAATTAAGGCAAGGCAAAGTTAATCAAGCTTTATTTACGGTATCACTTAATCAAAAATGTTCTTTCAGTGAGCCGTAAATATAACAAATTTTAAGGGAAAACTGCGATGCTTAGAAGATACGAAAACTATAAACAACACGATCCTAGATGGACACTAAAAAGTACCTTAGCCAAAACGCCTGCTCATATAAATGATTAAAAACAAGTCCGTCAGTAAATAAGCCTATATAATGCATGGAAAAACTTTCTTTCCTTTAAGACAGCTAGTTCTATCTGAATAGAATTGTGATATTTTTACGGATTCCCTTTTTTGAGACCCTTTATGACCTTAGTCTGAATTTCAAAACCTGTCGTTTCGCGTATTGACGCTGTATTGAGGAGGAAGCCATGTCATTGGCGGTATTTACTATTGTATTTGCGCTTTTCTCTGTCACTGTCGCAGTTTCAACCTATCTTTGTGTCTTTTGTCGCCATTACTGTCCTATGTCGCTGTTACAAGCCGGCCACGTCCCTTGTCAGCACAACCGATAAACCTTGTGAACGGGAAAGTGCTGCATAAGACCTAAGCATGACACTTAAGAAATTTCACAGACCTGCAGACTTTTAAGGAAGAACCTCGAGAACATGACAATGCTATAAACCATTTTCGTGATCATACCTTATACAATATCCCCCGGAGACGAAACATCGGTCAAAGGGACATTTCCTGCATGGCGCAGGTTTTTGACTCCGGATCAAGCCGATGCGGACTTGTGTGATATTACCGGTTCAACGGGCGGAAAATAAAAAAAAACCAGTACAGTGTTTTGAAGTTCCGGTATAAGAAGATGGGACCAAAATGGAAATTGGCAAAAGTAAGCTAGCCAAGTTGAATTTCCGGGATTTGGCGCTCGTAGCTCGTAGTCTCTTTCTTTCAGTGATATATTCGGCATTCATCGTGTATTTAGTTGCATGAGCTATATATGGAAATAATTCAATGCATTAAATTTTTCTTTGTAATCATGTCTGAGCCAGGCTATCATTACGGAACAGATCCCATAATATTAAAGTTCCGGCAAAAAAAGAAATCTTTACATTTTTTCTGGTTCATTTGAACGCAATTTTGAGGGAAATCGTTTTATTCAAATTGTACAAATGTTAACAAAAACAAGTCCCACGAGAAAGCCAGGAAGCCTTGACGAAGAAAAACTCAGTTATAGCTCATGTCTAGCTGAACAAAACCTCTCTTCCAAAGAGCGCGCTTTGAGACTCCGAGTCCGTTTATTAGTTTTATCATGACGCGAGCGTGCTCAAAAGTTTGATGTTTATCGGCTGCGAACACGCACAAAAATTGAAAATACTTTCTGGTCTTTGTCGTTTGAAGTGAATGCTTTCATCAACTGTAAAATTTTAGGCAGGAAAGGGTGAATTAACCTAATAAAAGGGACAGTTTCGGGGGATGAAAATGCAAGGTAACGAGGGTACCCTGCTTCTTTCAGAATCAACCCTATTTTTTATGAGCGTCGTGTTTAAAGGTAGATTTTTATCGTACTCGAAAGTTTCCTTTTCTTTCTTGCGGATACAACTCTCATATTGATATTTTTAATGTACCTTTACTGATCTTGCGCAATAAAACTCTGCGGAAGAGAGTTTGGAAGTACCCCTCCTGGCTCAATCAGAAGAAATCGTGTTTAAGCAGCACTGCGGGTAGTCGCTGTTTTGAATCTTTGCTGGAAAAGATAACAGGATGCTGTTTTCATCTCACGTGAAGTTTCTATTTCAGAAACATTGCTCCGGTATTGCTCTAAATTTGAAGAGTACATCCCTTTCGTTAGCTTTTCCAGAAAGACAGGTAAAACTAAGATACCTGTTTGGACAAGTAGATCGCTTTGAAACGTCAATTCCAAACCAAAAGAGAGGTTTTAATCATGTGGACATCAGAGTGTGTTATTTTACTGTATGTGTGCAAGGCTCTTGTTACTCCATTGAGGTCAATTTATACACTCTAATGCCTATTGACAGTTAACCTCGCAGCATTTTATTCCCTTGATTTTGCCGCAAGGTAACGATATATATTAGCTTTCACGTCTGGTCTCAGTGATCTTTGTACCATTCCGCAAAATTCTAAAAATACTGCTTCTATCAAACTTTTTAACAATATGGAGCATTCTTTTCCCTTTCGAAACAAGTATGCAGGGCAAAAAAGTCTTACATCAGCTTTCGTGGCGCAACAACGTTTGCATGTTGGCCATTTGCATCCTCAGCAAATAATTAGACGGTACCGTGCCTTTAGCGCGCGTAACGCACTATTTTGTCCTTTTGGACCCTTGAAAATGACAGATGTATGTCAATCCGGTTCTTAAGAAAACCACGTTTATTGGCTAGTCTGTAAAAGAAAAGCTTTTTTTGGTAAATATATCACGACCTGTTATTCGACAGTATCTGTATGTCTATCTAAGCTGAGCTCCGATTAGTCCGTTTTCTTATTTCTTTCATCAGCTGTCAGTCATCCCAGCCTGTTTATCTCGATTATTTGTGACCCTTTGTTCTCTCAGGGGCGCTAAGGAGTGGCCTACCCAATTTGATAGAAAACGATCCTCTCTCTTGCATCTTCTCTAGTTGCCCCTTGGATCCTCAACGCGATATGAGATCTTTAATATTCGTGTTGTTGGCCACTGGAGCAATTGCGGGTACGTATTCTCTTTTTTCTCAATTTAAATCCCTTTTTAAAACAAATTGCTGCTTATAAACGCCGTGACTTTAGATTTGTTAGTGACCGCTGAGAGATACCCTTTGGATACGACGCGATGTATGGCGACACATTCTGCCACAAAATATTCTGTTGCTTCGACTATTCTATTATGGTAGCGTAAGTCTGTTAGACGCTGTTCTCTTTACCCTGAAAAGAGCACAAAACGTCACGCATTTGTAAACAATTTGTTAAAAACTCGAACCTGCAAAGGTAATCGTTATTTCTCTTATTTCCCGGGGTATTTGATCGCTTGCGGCATCGAACATGGTACAGTTGGATTGTCATCAGCGTGGCATAAACTTCTGCGTGTTAACTTTTCGATTGACGACAAATAAAGCCGTTTTTAATGTCCTGAAATCCTTCAATTCCTTGTTACATAAGAAATTATTTCTTTGCAAACCTCGAATGTGCGGAATTCGCCATTGATACTGCATGGCGGTGAATATGTTCCTTTGGCACCCGGCTTCCGCTGGAAATCGCTTTCTACGTAGATTTTGCGTGTGTAGTCAAAAATTTAAAAACGACGAAGAGCGAATGCCGAGTGTATATTTTTTTGCTTAGTTCTTAATATCTTGGTGTGATCTTTATCATTACATTTGCTTCACTGCTGATTATGTCACAGTCTGCTTTTTTCTATTAAGTCACGGCTATTGCTTTATAACTTACACTGAATTTTCGTTAATTTCAGCTCCTTTGTCTTACGACAAGGGGAAAACGCATCGATGTGACAAACGTAAGTACAGAGTCGCGGTCTTTATTGTTCTAATCTTAAATCATATGAGCTTGGGAAAAAAGGAAACCTTAGTTTGTTTTAGACTTGTTTTAAGGAAATTCACTCCCATCGTTATCAGCAAACGTTTTGGTGGGTGCATGGAGCGAAATAATTTACGTCAAGACATTTTTCTGAGTGGAGTGAGGGGGGGGATTACGATGGAGATAAAGATCTGTTTTCTGGCAGATAGCTGGGAGTTATATTATTTCTTTAGTTTTTGTCCTTCTCGATAAAAAAACATCGTTTTGTCCATTTTAGTTTCAAGACGGTATAGCCGTCGTTTTTGTTGCACAATAATTACTTCTAGTTGAAGTCACGAGTTCGAAGAAATCGCTTTGTAATGTCCGGCCGCCTGAACGAATACCGGAAATCGCTCGTCTCCAATGTTGTTTCCCAGGGACCTGTTGACAACTTAGGGCACTGTATGACCCCTGTTCTGTTATTTCGATTGGTTAGATATATTGAAGCTCACACGCGCGCGACGATGTGAAGTCGTAACGGAGCACGTGGCTAGTGTGACAGCGTGAACACTTCCTGTTTTTTTTATAGGGGGTAATAAAAGCCATTTTACTTTAAAAAAAGAAACTGAAAAATATTTCGGAAAACACAAAGTGATCTATATTCGCTAAAGAACAATAAAAGAATTGAACTAAATACTTCAAGGAAGGAAACGTTTTGGGAACAATCTCGTATTGTGCAATCTTCCCCCCTGACTTCCATTCTATCTACTTGTGGGTTTAAGTTCTTGTCTTGTTATGTCTCTTCCAGGGTTAGATAGATTTCACCATGAAAAAGAGTTTCCCTACAACTATGAAGGAGAAACGATAAGTAGTATTCAAGGCGCATCAACAGCTCGCTCCGGGCTGAAAATTCGCGCAAGATGTGTCATCAAGGCTGTTGAACCATGTCAGCATGTCTTGAAGGTAAGATAAACTAGTTATGGACTCCCTCGAGTACTTATTTTGGCGTGTTAAACGACTATAGTATGTTTACCCGGATTCACGTTGTTTTCTTTTTCTATTCAAGCCATAATAGGAGCTGCCCATAGTAAGACCACCCCATATATAATGCTTTGACCTTCTACTATTACTCTTTCGGTTATGTATTTATAAGTCCCCGGAAAGCTAACTATGTTTCTTTCGTCTTTCAAATGCTTGAAAAACGAAATTAGAAGTTAGCCTGCTGATATGCGAATCAGTATTGTTGAAAAGAAAACAGACTTACATGGTTATTATAATTTGTAACTAAATAATGCTTTTCGTTCGTTGGTTTCAATAATAAGAAATCAACATATAGGTCACAGTGAAATAATACGTGCATTTTATTTGCAACTGAATTTAGACCACAGTGATCACAAATTCTAAGATCTTCAGGAGTTTTGGGAATTGTTTTTGGGAACAGATCGTTTTAGAGTGGCTTACCTCATGCCTGTCATGTGGTTATTTATAGTGGCATTATCTGCGCGCAATTCAGTTAAATGTTATGAATCCTTTTGCCTCACCGGGCAAACTGTCCTAATTCACGAAATGGCATAAGTTAGTTACCAAAACAGAAAAAACGAAAAAAAAAAACTCAGTGCATAGAATCTCTCGTTTTTATTGAGGGTGGAGTGGGGGGTGGGGCAGAAAGCAGGAGATACATTTAACTTTTCGATACCTATATTTATATTGTATGTATGTTATAAATTTTAACCTTATGTTGAAAATCCTTCACTGTTTTTTTATAGTTTTCTAGTAGTAACCGACTTTTGAGTGTTGTTACAAAGTGTTTTTTTTTGCGAACAATCGCACGCAACTGTTTGTTCAACCCATTCTCCGCCTCCTTCTTACCCCTTAATTCCACTGACCTCTTTGACCCCTTTCCGGAAAACCCTTCATTACATCCCAACATACAGGAAAGACGTACTCGTTTAATCTATCTTGGAATGTCACAATGCCAGCTGATGATACGAACGTAAACAAATCCTATTTCTTGACGCTCTATAGTCCAAAGTTCAAATTCGGTTCTACGCAAAATTTTCTCATGAGGAAAGCCAAAAAATTGTTACAGGATGTTCTATGCGAGGAAGTACAGGATGTCGAGAAAAAAGTCCTTAAAATAGCGGATTTTAAGTTGTGTAATCTCTTGATTTGCTGTACCCATTGCCACGCCCATAATCATCCCCCGGGTTGTCGTCCACGCAATCCCCCAATAATCCTACCCAACCAGGCAAGTTCCTAAAAGTGTTTCGTGGTACAAACGTCCTAAAGGATTCAACATTCTGTTGTATTCCTTAACAATGTAATCAAAAGAACGATCTTGTGAAAATTCATCTGATACACATAATGCTCGTGTAAACAAAAATCAATTATTAGTGCGCCACAAACAAACCTTAATTCCAAAGTTCAATGAATGTGGTTCGTTTTTACTCCTGTTCTTAAATTCTGTTTGCGAGAGAATATACTAGCGACTGGACCTATAAAGCTGCCGGTCTAATGCGTCAGTTTTTGTGGTTTTGATTTTTTGTTTATTTCGAAATTTGAGAGTAAAAACCGCATACCGTGACACAAGACTTGCGTTTACGATTTTGAAGATTAACTTTTTTGTTCTTGTCAGGTCGTTGGTCAGTAAGGATTATATTATATTTGTTCACTAAAGTGCATGTATTGCCACAATGTTATTGATCCCAACTGTCACGTTTTTTTTTTCTAGCTTCATTTTCCTTTCCCCGTCAGGTCTAGTTCGTTTTCAAAACAGATTACTTTTGTTGCGATGGGGCAAGAAAAAAATAACTGCGGGTTGTGTCCCAAAACAGAACAGCACGGTCCAAAGTCTCGCTGGAGGGTCGAAGTTTGCTTTGTCTATTTGGCAGATAAAGGAAGAATTTTAGTCCTCTTACATGGACTAGTGCAACATAATATCCTTCAAAAGAGCTTTGTTTTCGATCCTGTTTTCTGGAAGAAATTAAATTTTGAAGCATTGCACGCTCTTCAAACCGAGTAGCCTGTTTCATTAAGCTTTCAATAAACCTTTTCTTCCAATCCTCATTCTTTTCTCGTACTTACTTTTCCGTCTTCATGCTAAGAACTAACACTGGAAAGGATGCAAAACGAGGTTTTTTTCTCCTTAAACGTCGCAATTTGGCCTTTAAATCAGGTCTTCGTTCAGCGGATTCGCACAGCTGTGCTTGGTCAAAGCATTTCCGGTGTTATTAATACATTTTATGTAAAAAAAATAGTTTGAAGTGACAAAGGCCCCTTGTCTCACTTCGTGGCTTCATTTCTAGGTCAAGGGTAATAGATTTTGGCGTGGTTTTATCCTTGGGAAGTGTAAAAACGTAAACTGACCGCGAAACATTTCAGCAAGAAAATTTTGCCTGAGGAAAGTGTAGCTTTAGTGGACGGTGTTATATTTCGCGAAACAACCGCACGTTTTCCGCTTGAATCTGATCTCTACCTTATAACAGCACTCATCATGAATCACGAATAACATGTTTTTATTTGTGATAAAAAGATTATTTTTGTCGATTGGCAAAAGTAGCTCCTTGTACGACCACCTTAGAGGGCTATGTTTATGTTTGAAACACGCGATTCGTGGTAATACCAGACATTGAATAGCTGTAAATATATCTGTTATTTGAAAAGGAAAAAAATCCCAGGCAATCTTCGTTTAGTCTAGACCATGTGCAAATGGAATTAGCATCCTTGGCTTCATTACTTTCTCGGGTGACGAAACTAGAATCTTTTATTTATAAGAAAAATTATAGTTACGACACAACTTATCCCGTTGAGTTTTCCGCAGTACATATTCAAGAACAGATCACCTTTTGACTAGGAACTGAATGACAGAATTATTTTTTTCTGGGCTCAAAATTATACCTAAATCACGCCATTATTCAGCCTACAAATACAGCCACCTTACATCACTCCCCTTCGGGGAATGTTTAGACGAGAGGCGATGAAGATCGGCTGTATTCGTAAGCTAGCCATACTGAATTATGTACTTAGAGGCTTCATTTCGGGTAGCAATTTTTTCACGTCGTGAGTCGCAATACATTTGAAAAAAACAAGAACAAAAATTTAAAAAAATCTTCAACAGCAGTCATCCCAATTTCCGGGCAAATCCCCACCCGGGCATTCCCCGGCGGGCATTCCCGAGTACAATCATTACGTAAGAAAAACACTGTGAAGGCCAAAAAGCAAAAAGGAGGGTTATTCATATTGGATACGTTTTGTTTCGATGCGAATACATAATCTTTTTAAAATGCAGCGTTTCAGTTGCTGTCCATATTTCTGGGCTTGAAAGCTAGAAAATTCCGAGTGCACTGGGTATAGGGCAAGAGGTATTGCCCTGCCACTGACGGGCACTTGTGAAATTTGATTCTCTGATTCATGATTTCTATCTTAAAATTTGTTTGATCGCTCCTGAAGGAATTCTAGACCACTACTGTCACGTTTGCCTCTTTTCCTTGACTTGTCTTTCAGACTTAAAGTCAGACTTGAAGGTGTGCAATAAAAAATTATTGCATGTCTCATGGCGGAAACTACGTGCTTGTGTATAATCCAATTGCTCCTGGTGCTAATTGATAGTCGAAAAATGACGTAACAGTTAGGATTTGTCTCTTCTTGTTAAACTTGCTTTAAGCTAATTCAGGACTGCAGTATTTTGATTTTAACTTACGCGGCCGTAATGTGATACAAGGCCAAGTTCAACTCTATTGAGCCCATATATCAAAAGATGAAGATATTATCGGTTTCACATAGTGTTGGAATCCCACAAGTGAACTTCTCACAATGTCACAAAACTCGCTTTTAGAAAATGCTCCTTTTTGAAACTTAACTGAAATTAAATGATCGTGGGTTATACCAAATGCCCTACAAACTTGCATGTGATCAGTCAAACTTGTGTGCTTTACAAGTTCGAGGGGAATCTGCAATAAAGAGCAAACCCCCCTTCTCGCTTCTAAAATAATGGATTAATACGCGAAGACGCGCCAAACGCGCAACTTCCTTCCTTCCTCGATGTTCTTTTTTTGGGGGGGGGTGGGGATGGGGAGACTTAAAAGTTTCGTCAATTATGTCCAAAATTGTCTGTAAGGTTTCATACCAACGGCAAAACAAATACCCTGTGTGGAGAGTTTTTCTGGGCCGTTCTACTTTAGCTAAGAGCGGGAATGACTTAAGCAACGGGAAACATCTGCTCCCAAAAATAAGCAAACGTCACAGATCAGCGAAGTTGGGTACCATAAATTAACTCAAAGAAAACCTCAAATAACAACGTCGAAAAAATGAAAGAAATGGCAGGCGTAGAGAATTCTCTTTTTGCTCGTGTAAATAAACCAACAATGTTCGATTTGCCTGAAGAATCTTGTTTGGAACGTTTATTAGCATTCTTTCACTATTTCTAAAATCATTCAAAAACACTTCTCTTGGTCACAATTCACTAGATAATGTTGTGTTTGCCCTTGATTTGGTGAGACCACCCAAACTCGATATCTCATCCTTGCCACTTCTTGACCTGAATTCTTGCGGAAGTCTAGGTTTTTTCTTTCACTAGTCTTTATTTAATCCTTTCCCCCAAAAGGGACTCGTATGAAATTTCTCCTCCTATGAGGTTCTTAACAGTTAAAACCCTGAGATCAAAATTTGAATTCTCATTTGTTGCCCCTATTCATTTCCCACAGAAGTAGTTAGGAGAAGTTGATAAAATGTCAACCAAAATTCACCTTGTGTGATCATGTCCGAAATTCTCATGACCACTCTGTTTTACAAAGCATTGATATTACAGAGAGAAATTTGGTACTGATCACTCTTAGGGCTTAAAAGGGTTTGGCTTATGGAGTCACGTAGGATTGTGTTCACAGGCTCATAGAGGAGGACATAGAATAAGAGAAATAAAAAACCGAATAAAATAAGTCGTGTTTGTAAAGAAGTTTTTCCCGTCGGTACATCTGAAGAAGGATGGAGAAGAGAGAAGATGCTCTACCAAACCAGGACGCGAAATCTAATAACTCGGGTCATTTCACTAATAAAAATATTTGAAAGACCTGTGCAGGGCAGTCCCACAGCAGGTTTAGATCTTAATGCAGGAGAGTAATTTCAAAAATAGCAGTAAAAGCTATTCAAAAGCCAACTGTCGCAAAACCAGTGCTTTTTAACTCAGTCAAAAATCAAGATGGCGGATACGCGTTCATTTGCAATTAAAGATCCAGCGGTATTCCTGTTAAAATGTGCGCCCGCTATTTGTGCAGTTACTCTTCTGGAAACGTTGTTTCGTAGAAAAATATTTGTGAGTTAGAAGTAAACAGACATATTTTGATTTATGTGATCCATATTTTGTCGCAGCAAAGCAAGGGCAGTTGTTCTTTATTTTAAGTCTCAAGTAAAGTCGGAAAAGATGTGCAAAAGAATTTTAGTCACCAAGGATGTAGTTTTATATCCAGTCGCATTGTCGACCGTTCATGAGATCAAGGGATTTGGTCAACAAGTAAAAGAAATCGTGATTGTTTAACAAGTTCATCTCATTATTTAATACTTCAGGATAGATCTTGAGAGAAAAGCGTAGTTCTAGAAAAGCCTGCTGATACTTCTTCCTTTCTTCCAGCTTGACACAGTTGAGCTCTGGGAAGCACAGAGCAAGAACCCCGGTCCCTTGAAATACCATGTATCTCGGGGATCAACAGCTTTTGCTGAAGAGCTTGAAGCTCAAGATCTTGTATTTAGAACCGACCGCGGTCGAATCACTGAGATCCTCGCCCATCCAGAGGAACCTCCCCACGTATTGAACATCAAGAGGGGTATACTCAGCGCGCTACAGGTGCAGTTCGTTAACGAGCATGCCGTCTTGGAAGAGGTAAGAGACTGTTTTTTGCCCCTTTACTCGGTGGGGGGGGGGGGGGGATGCATGGGGAGGGTCTTTGGGACCAAGTGTAGCCCAGAGGTGAGAACACTCGCCTCCCACCAACTGATGAAATCCCGGCGTCAACGACATATGTGGGTTGAGTTTTATTAGTTTGGTTCTCTCCGGGAGGTTTTCTCCGGGTACTCCGTTTTTTACCTCTCCTCAAAAACCAGCATTTCCAAGTTGCAATTCGACCAGGAATGGTAGACGGAAGAACCACTACGTCAATATGCTACCTCTCAATCGGTAATTACTGTTATTATTATTGTTATTATTATTGAGGGGAGGGGCTACCCCAAGTAGCGAAGCATGACGATACAAAGAACTCCCGCGTTTGAGACTTTAGTTTCCTTAGCCAGACTTTCGGTGCCAAAAAAAAAATAAATCATGTATTTGGAAAACTTGACAAGGGAGAACTGACTTTGAGCAGTGTTTTTACTAAACACGAAACCTTTTTAAGTTTCCTTGTCAAGGGAAACATTGGAAAGTAAAACTTGCCCGTGTGAACGGTCTGGATAAGCAAATTTGAAATAACCCTAGCCACTGTATTTTTTACAATCATTACTGGCCTTGACTGTCTTTGTTCTAATTCGCACCTTCCAGGACGATGTTGTAGGTAAATGCAAAGTGCAATACACCATCAAATCTCGTCACATCAGCGGTCGACCCAAAGTGATCTACAAGACACGAAACCTGACGGAGTGCTCCGATCGCGCACAGACAGACGTCGGAATTCACGTGCATTCTTACGAAGAGAAGGTATGGTTTAAATCATGTAAAACACGACAAGCACGATCCGAATTCTTGGTCGCCGGAGATTTGTGGAAAGACTCTTTAAATTATAAAGGATAAAAATTGAAATGTGAAAAGTGTGAGACGCGAAGAATCGAGGCGAGTTCGTCATCTCCGTGCGCAAAAGTAATTAATTGACGACAAATGTTTCGAAAAACTGCGAAGGCAACTGCTAATATGTAGTGATGAATAGGGGACGTTTTTAAGTATCAGTGCAGTATACTTTGTTAAGTAAGCCCAGCAAGCGATATTGGCCAAGAGCTGAGTAGCGTTGAACAAAACGTTTTCAGAACTTTCGTAAATAAGGCGATGTCGGAGAAAAAGTTTAGGCAAAGGAACGCCATGACGTAACCTCTCGGGTTGGGATTGAGGAAGTAAAAGGGTTAAGAGTACTCATCTGCCGTTGGTAGCTTCAAACACTTCTCTTTTAAAGCAACACGGAAAGGAAAGAAGTCAAAACAAGGATTTGAGGTCACACGTGAGAATCGAACCTGGGATCTCTCTCGTACAGAAGTTCGCGCACTAGCCGACGGTGCACCTCTAAGACACCTCTAAGCTTTTTATTACTGTTTTTTTTCACAGCCACTGAGCTTACTGAATTCTCACAGCACGTGTAAGATGTACTTAACTGCCAAGACTCGAACACAGAAGGTGGTTTGTGAGGAACAACACATCTTTAGACCCTTCTCTGCAGGCTACAAAAATACATCTGGAGCTATTACCACCACCAGGTAAGACGTGAAAGCCAGCGTATTCTTTCGCCTGAAAACGTGTAGGCTACTATTGAGGGCTGTAGCCGGGATATTCGACTTCTCGTGGAATAAACATACAGTGGAACCTCAATATAACGAACCTCTATATAACGAAGTCCTCGGTATAACGAACGATTTTCTTTACCTCAGTAATAGCAAAGTATATGAAAAAGAACCTCGATATGACGAAACCTCGGTATAGTGAACACATTTTGCCAGTCCCTTGGCCCTACGTTATATCGAGATTCCACATTGTAATTAATTATTCTTTTAATTTCACCACAGACAAGTCTTGGAACTGCAATCAATCAAGACAACTGACCCTGAGCCAGTTGCTATCGGTATGTATTCAAATAATTTTGCACTCCTGATTTTAAGATTTGATAGAGGGTTACTTTTCAGCAAGGGAAGTTAATATTGGCCATTTTTAATGTAACGCCGGAGACTGGGTCCTTTTGGTGTCGAATTGCACTGTGGGATTGTATTGGGGGACGAATTTGACCCAGTATCCTGTGCAGCCTCATAACACCAAATAGGGAGCTTAAGCATCGACAAGTGCAACGGCAGCGAAAACTTTTAAAATGAATTCGCGTTTTTTCAGACTTTGTCGCGCTTCTTCCAATTGTAGGCGAATTTCCCCGGAGTTGATTTCTTGGGGACCACACTCAAGTTTTGAAAGAGGAAGAAAAATTCGTTGTCGCTTCTTTACGTCGTCCATAAAAGTGAAATTCGGGATTTTCACGCCGCAGTCGTGCAGTGAAGGGAAAGAAATGTACAAAAAAGTGTGCTGCAACGTATTGTTTTTTTGACGTTTTCGCTGCTGTCGCCGTCGTCGTTGCTAAAGCTCCCTAATAAGAGAAGCGACAGCGTTCCCAAAAATGTCCCATGGTGCAATTAGAGACAACATTGTGTAGCTGTGCCCGGGGTATTTTCTTGGAGGCTAGCGAAGCGAAAATCAATTTGTCTTTCCCTTCATCTACTCATGGCACCGCCGATAAAAACCTTCGGCATTCTCCCGCTAATCGTAGTCAGGCACACAGGCTGTGTAAAACTTAAATCAGACAACGTCTAAAACCATTTTACTGTGACGTTGCCAGAGCTTCGTTCTTCTCTTTCGACTAAAAACCCTCCAGGATTAAGTCATTCAAAAACAGTGGCGCAGATTAAATGGAACAAGAACTAGGCTAACTGACTTTTTGACTTAAAAAGGCTAATTACTAGCTAAATAACGTGGAGATGAAGGTCATCGGTTTTTACATACGTGGACATCAAGTAAAAGGAGATAATCCTTGTAATTTTTTTTTCAGAGGAATTTCGGTCTGTTTCACTGAAGTACGCCCATTCCACACCCGTGTCCAACGAAGATGCCATAATAAATGCGTACTATCTTGTCAGCCGTTTGACCCAGCAATCCCGTACGAGTACCAAACCAGACTCCGCACAGCACTTCTCGGAACTTGTGTTCAGTATCCGCAAGCTCAACACTCCAGCCATGGAGAAACTGTGGCAGAAGGTACACCAAGAGGAAGATGAAAAGATGCAGTAAGTGTTAATAATGTCACCTCACTCGACAGAGAGGAAGACGCCGTATTCAGGCATTAGAGACTGACATCCAAATTGAGTGAAATATAATAATAACCGCTTAAAATATCACCCACAGGTTTATTTAACAAATCATGGCAAATACACATGATGGCACGAATGACCTCAGTTAAGGATGATTAAAACGGTTAACGATTGGGTTTTAGAAAGTTGTTTCACGGGCCAAAAGTCATTTTCATTTTTTTGTGGTGAATACGCGCGAAAGACAATTTATGTTATTTTTAAAGCGTGAGTCATTTGTTTTTGAACTCAAGGTGAAGTTTCATGGAACGTATTTGACAAACGTAAACAAAATGGGCTTAACTTTCGTGTAACGGTCCCATAAGCGCAGGTCAGCGACACCGTAAACCCTTGTGTTCTCGAGAAGGAAGAAAGGTTGTTAAGCGAAATAACTGTTTGATCTGCAAGATTCTTTTCATGCTTACTCGCTGTCTTTGGTGAATCTATAAACTCATAACGTTAAATTAGATGTAATACTGTGTGGTATGTCTTGATAAATACAACTTCGTCCTTGAAAATCTTTTTTTTAGTGAATATCTGTACGATGCTTTACCCCACTGTGGAACTGGGGGCTGTGCTAAAGTCATGAGTTATGCGATAAGGGAAAAGTTAGTCAGCCATGAGCGAGGCAACATGTTCCTGGCTGGTCTTGCTATGGCGTCAAATCCCACCAAGGAGACGGTTGAACACGTGTTGGAGCTTTGCGAAGAGAATCCGGGTAGAACGGCCATGTTGACACTAGGAACACTCATACACAAGGTCTGCGAGAGCAACCCTCGGGAGTGTGACGAAAAGGTTAGTTCATAAAAACCTGAAAAAAATTGTCAGAAACTTACCTTGGTATAGACGTCTACTAGCGAAGCTTGTGTTTCCTTACAGCAATACAAGTCAAAACAATCATAAAAAATGTCCTTTGTAGGAATCAGTTACTATGCTAAGCACCAGCTCCAGTGAAGGGTATGGCTTGTCCCGGGTTACCGTTAGTGATTGAGCAAAGAATGTAAGCCGTTTAGCATCCGTATGAAGCCAGTGAAATGAGTGATGGAGAGTGAGAACTGTACAATTCCTTGCTTCTGAACTACAAGGCCTATAAAGGAAATTTACCCAAACAAAGAACCCAAGAAATTATTGTTGACCTCAACTCTCTAACTAATTGAGCAGCGCGGTCAATCCGAAGCAGGATTAGGCTCGATTACCTTCCCGAGCGAACAGCGGAAATCGAACTTAAAGCAGGATGCCCAAAAATAAAACGTGTAACGTAAACTAAAATACTGTTCCACTTTCGCCCCTGCTAGGAGGAAGGTAGCCCCATCACCAAAGCGGAAAGCTTCTTCAAATCACGTCTTGGCTTTGCATGCGAGGGTACAACACCAGAAGACTTCGAAAATATGCTCATTACTCTGAAAGCCATTGGAAATGCTGGTCGTCCTGCGTCTGCTGAACACGTCCTGCTGAGATGCGCCCTCAATCTGGACGCACCTGTCAACATGAGTATTGCTGCATTGGAGGCCCTCCGTCGCTTACCTTGCAACAACCATACGACAGGGCAACTTCTTAAGATTTATGGCGAACATGACCTCGATGTTGAAATCCGTATCGCTGCGTATCTCGCTCTTATGAAGTGCCCCAGTCCAAGTGTTTTCAAACAAGTCGCTAAAATCCTCAACGACGAAGTCAACAACCAGGTTGGATCGTTCGTATGGTCACATATGACGAACGCCATGGATTCAACAGAGCCAGTACATGGTCTTCCTCAGGCCGAGATGATGAAGGACGCTCTAAATGGAATGAAACTGCGAGAGTTTAATCTCAACAGGTTGAAATTCTCACGTGCTTGGGAAGGATCATTTTACAGCGGTAGGTTTGTTTCTTCTGGCCATGCTCTTCAGCTATGACTTTCGACCATGCACAACGTCGAACAGCACTCCGTGTTTGTTGTGACCGTTAAAAAACATTTTAAGTTAACGACTCTACCAACCCGTTCAGCGCTCTTCATAGTAAAGCATCACCATTACCAGTAACATAACAAATCCATCAGAATAATGAGGTGCGAAAATTGTACTGCTTTCTTCAGATGACAAGGTCAAGTTCGTTCTTGGCTATAAGTATCAACTAGAGATGATGGTCATTGGTCATTCTTTCCTCCCCCCATAATAGCAACGTAGCGTTTTGTTAAATTAAGAGTGCTGAATTAATCTAACTGTACCGTTAGTCTAGCAATCCAAGCTTTATTTTCAGTTTTGGGTCTGTTTGTATCGAAGATAGACCCATTACCCTTACTTAAGCTTGGCTTTTGTGATGTTGGCTTGTTCTAGCAACTACCCCGACTAAAAGTTCCTTTTTCTGTTTTCATGCAGACGTTTTGAGATTTGGTGGATCGGCGCAGAGCCACATTATCTTCCATCCCAGCAGCTTCTTTCCACGTAGTGCCATGCTGAACCTTACAGTTGATGTCCTGGGAGCGTCCATTAACGTGCTTGAGACAGCCGCACGCTTCGAAGGTGTGGAAATCCTGATCGAACAATTCTTTGGTGATGAGGGGTACTTCCCTGATGACCGCATTATGAAGATGTTCAACCTGAAGCCCTACGAGGAGAGAGACAAGGAGGAGAGGACTGTCAATAAAGTGCTCCGAAGACAGAGGAGTCTGAGCATTGAAGAGGACATCAACCGTGTAGAGAATCATCTTCATAAACTTCACCGAACGGTCAGTTTAAGGAAATCGTTTTTCAAAGCAACATTTTTCCCTAAACGTGCACCGTTTATACAAATCCTTTAGGGATTGCATCAAAATTACAAACGTTACAATAGGCTTTGTTAAACCTCTCTGTAGGCGATTCAGTTGACCGCTTTTTTTATCCTCATGCTGTGAAACAAATCCGCATCCTTCATATTTTGACTTCCTCGTAGAAAAGGCTTTACCTCTTCATATATCTTACTGTTCAGTACAATGAAACCACGTAAGAAGTGAAATAACAGAGTGGTCCATAGAATTAAAGCAACGACAACGCCGACTTCGCGATGAATAGGAAACGAAACTTTGGTGTTTCGCCCGATGGAATGCTATTGTGAGGGCGAGTTCAAAAGGTTTTGTGTAAATCCTTTTAGCATTGAATGAAGTCATCAAATGATCAACTTCCAGTTGTTATTATTTGCTTCCAGTCTCCAACGTTTCCGCCTGCTCTAGGTCACTAGTAAAACGGGGTGGCTGTAAGGTGGGTTTCCACTGTGGCTCCAATTCCATGGTGGTGAAGTTAGTGAAAATATTGTTTCTCCAGAAAAAACCTCTTTTAGTTATGTTTATCCATCACTTCGAGAGGTGACTCATAACGAGTTTTTCGTTATCTCCTTTACAGATGGACAATCGAATGCATCACCCATCTGGCGCTCTCTCTGTGAAGATGTTTGGTAATGAGATCAGACTTGCCAGCTTCAACGATATTAGCTGGCTAAACGATGAGATCGACAAGGTAAACGTCATCGATTTCTTGCTCCTGATGGCAAAGGGTGGCAAGAAGACCTTCAGCAAGAGCATGATGTTTTTGGACGCCCAAACTACCGTCCCTACTATTCTTGGTCTGCCGCTTAAACTGAGTGCCAAAGGAACCACCGTTGCTTCTGTGGAACTCGCTGGAAAGTTTGACATCAGGAATATGTTCTGGGGAAAAATGAAATTTGATATTCGAGGCCATGTAAAGCCAAGGTGAGAAAATAACGGAAGAGGCTAATCGTTTCTCAACACCCCACGTAATTCTTTTTTTATCAATTTCTTATTTCTAAGATGATAAGAATGATGATTAAACCGCGTGCCTCCTGGTTGGCTCAGTTGGGAGAGCGCCGGTCGGCTGAGCGGGAGGTCGCGGGTTCAAATCCCGGCCGGACCAAAACTCAGGGTCTTTAAATAGCTGAGAAGAAAGTGCTGCCTTTGTAATGACATCTGCAAATGGATGGCGTGTTAATCAGCAGTGATACTAACCAATGCCACAATAACTACTCTGTAAACAGTGAAAATGAAGAGCTATTAAAAATTTACTTCTTAGCCGATTGAGGTTTTTTTGTTTCAACTGACGATAAGTTTTTCTTTGTTTTATACAGTGCTGTAGTCGATATCTCTGGTCGAATGGGCGTGAGCGCTGTGCACGCTGAGGCTGGTATCCTTGTTAACTCATCTGTGTACACTGTTACCCAAATCAAAGGAAACGCCACGTACTCTCAGGGTGAACTATTGAAGTTTGAAGTCGGTGTTCCTGAGGAACCTGTGCAGTTTTTTAACTTCTCGTAAGTACACGAATGATGATACTTATTGTAACCATGAAAGCAAGTGTAAATAGGGACCACAGCGAAACCGGTTCTTCGATGTAATACTTAGAGGAACTGTGTCACAAAATTTATCAAAATTAAAGCAGTGGGAACTGCTATACAATACAATACATACATTACAATACATTATTCTTTATTTAACAAAGGTGACGTAATAACCCAATGAGTTATCTAACTTACGGCCTTCACCACAATACAAAATACACATATAAAAACAATGCCTAATCAGTAATATACGACTACAAGAGAAAAAATAGAACTAGACAAATGTATGGTTTAACATAGATATAACATGATATAAACTAATTACCTTCTAATACAGTTACAATAAAGAGAAAAACGACAATCATAACACATTAATTCTTCAAGATGAGAAACGTTACTAGCAAACTTAAGGAATAAGATAAGGAGTTTATGCTTAAAATTATTTAATCTAGATGAAAAAATAGTAGAAGAAGGAGATACACACGCATTTTGCTTAAGATCAGTGTCAAGGCAATTAAAAAGAGTGGCAGCAGACAGCAAACTGAGTGAAAAACAACTGCTCCAAACATGAAATTCTCTGCCAACAGGGCCTCTTTTCCCTGATGTATTCTGAATACCAGGGAAAAGAGGCATCTGCTGGCAGGGAAAACATGAAAAGAAGGTGTAAGTAAAACAGCAAATACAAAAGGAGGCACGGATGGACACACTCGAAGAAGATCAAAACGGATTGCAATTTTGGCTTTTTGAAAACTTGTTAGGCTAACAGATATTCAAAGTGAACTGTCTTTTTTTAATGTAATGTTTGAAAGACAAGAGGAGTTTGACACCATGCTGTAATTAGGTAATTTCTCACGTTCCATACTGAAAAAATACGCGTAACTGGAATTATAGGCCAAATGAACTCGAGGTTCCACTATGTGGACAGCTGCAACAAGGCCCCTTTAACTAAACTGTTTGCTTCTGTTACAGGTCGTCTCTTTTCACTACCCTCAATGATGAGAAACAGGCTATTGAAGGAACACCAAGACGGCTTGAGGTAAAGAACTCAATTTACTTAAAAGTGATAATATTTCCCTTTGATCTGGGTCCTTTAACAGCTCTAAGAGCTTCCAAGATCTGTGGATAGGTTTTGAATTTAAAGGTGGAAAGGAGTGCAATATGTTTTTAAGTGATCTTTGAAACTTGTGGAGTCCTTCGCTGTTTTCGTGTTTTTAATACGTCTTTCCTTTTCTCCCTGTAATAGCCATCGCCCTGCCTGAATATGACACGCCTTCTTGGACTGAGATTCTGCGGACAGCTGTCCTTGCCTATTGGTTACCGGAACTTGCATTCGCCGTTTTATCCATTGTCTGGTCCAGCTTCGTACAGTATCTCAATGCAGCGCACCGATCCAAAACTCACCAAGTATCAACTGCTCGCCGAACGCTTGAGCACCGAGGATGAGAACAGATACGATGTCATTGCCACTATGTCCACTCCTGGAGCAACCTGGGAGCGAAACTTCGACACCAACGTGACGTTGTGGCTTAAAGAAGACGGCAAACTATTCACCTTGTCCACAGGAGCACTTGGTACAAAGTTTGGCACCTTTGAAGCAATTTACAATAACAACACGCATGCACTGAATCTTACGTATTCTGCCAAAGATGCAGTTTACGGACATCCAATCATCCTTAATGGTCAGTTCTTTAATAACACGAAGGACAGCCTTTCGCGAGAACTTGGTATCCAGTTGTCTGCCTCGTACAGGAACTATACCATCAAGCAGCTTACCAAGCTCTACAACAGATCTGGTGCGTATGGATTTGTAAATAACATCACATACTGGCCTGAGAAATATCTCTATGCTTCTGGCGAGCTAAACATCCCAAAGAGAAACGTCCGCTTCTTGGCTAATCATACATGCACAAAAACGGAAATCAGCTTCAATGGAAACCTTGGTGAAGAAGAAAATAGCTTCCTTTTCAACTTTGACAACAAGCCAACCAAGGCAGGTATCGAACTTACTGGCAGACACCTGAAAGCAGAAAAGAAAGGCGTCATCCACTTATTTGCTCGCCCTTGTAACCAGTCATTTACTCTACGCGGTTCCTATGCCGAGAGTGGAAACGAGAAAGGCATCCGCTTTACAGCCAGCCATGACAACAGGAAGCGTTTAGTTGGATGGTACGCTGGTATTGTAAACTCAACCAAAGAGAAGTCTATCAAGGCAAACGCCACTGTCCTTGGAAGCAAAGCGGAGGCTGTATGGAGCTATTTTGACTTGACGCAGGAGAAAGGATTCAAGTTCAATGGACTCCTTCTGAACGAAACGTTCGATGCTGCTTGGTTATACTTCAACGCTGGCCAAGAGAAGGGATTGAAATTCAATGCCACAAGCTTCAACAAGACAATGCAAGCAGCATGGACCTTCCTGAATGTTACAACAGGAAAAAGCTTGAAGTTCAATGCATCTGTCATCAACAAGACCGTTGAAGCAGTGTGGTCATATGTCAGCATCGGACAGGAGAAGGGACTGCGATTGAACGCTTTGGCGCTGAATTACACCATGGATAGTACCCTGGTCTTCCAGAACGTTACCGGCACAAAAAGCATCAAAATTAACGCAACCGTTGTAAACAAAACTCTAGAGGCTGTGTGGTCATACGTAAACGCGGGAAAAGACAAAGGATTGCGCTTTAATATCACAGGCTTTAACAAGACAGCTGACGCGATGTGGTCTTACTTCAACGACGGCGTGCAGAGAGGAATTCGCTTTAACGCTTCCGCCCTCAATAAGACTGTGGACGCCACCTGGACCTTCGTCAACCTCACAAACGAAAAGAGTCTGAAGTTCAAGGCCGTCGCCTTAAACCGAACAGTTAATGCAACATGGAGTTTCCTTAACCTGGCCAATGAGAAAAGTCTAAAGCTTAACATAAGCGCTCTCAACAAGACCTTAGATGCCAAATGGTCCTTCCTTAATTTCACCAACGAAATAGGACTCAAATTCCAAGCCAGCTGTATGAACAAGACTGTTGATGCTACATGGAGTTTCGTTAATTCGGCCAAAGAGAAAAGCTTGAAGTTTAACGCCAGCGCCCTAAACACAACCTTGAATGCCAAGTGGTCCTTCCTAAACCACGCCCACGAGAAAGGATTGAAATTTCAAGCCGGCGCTCTCAACAAGACCATTGAAGCAGCATGGAGTTTCGTAAACTCGGCCAGTGAGAAGAGTCTCAAGTTCAATGCCAGTGCTTTGAACAAAACCATTGACGCCAAGTGGTCTTTCCTCAATGTTGCAAACGAGAAGGGACTCAGATTCCAAGCCACTGCCTTCAACAAGACCATTGACGCGACATGGACTTTCCTAAACTCGGCCAGTGAGAAATGTCTGAAATTTAATGCCAGCGCTCTAAACAAGACCTTAGATGCCAGGTGGTATTTCCTTAACTTCACTGACGAGAAAGGATTGAAATTCCAGGCAAGTGCTCTTAACAAGACTATTGACGCGACATTGAGTTTGATCAGCTTGCCTAAGGGGAAGAGTTTAAGGTTTAATGCTAGTGCACTTAACAAGACCATCAACGCCACGTGGAGTTTCATTAGCATGGAAAACGAGAAGAGCTTAGTTTTTAAAGCCAACCTTCTTAATAAGACCGTTAACGCCACTTGGACCATTCTCAACTTAGAAAAGGAGAAAGGCTTGCTATTTAAAGCCAGTGCCATTAATAAGACACTCGAGACATCAATCACCTTCTTCAACCTAGGAAAGGAGAAGGGATTGAAGATTAGCGCAAAGGCACAAAACAAGACCATAGACGCAAGTTGGATTTTCCTTAACGTGACAAACGAGAAGAGTTTGAAGTTCAAAGCCAGCGCTTTCAACAGGACAGTTGAATCGGCTTGGTCCATCCTTAACTTCCCTACTGAGAAGGGCATCAAATTCAGTGTGACTGGTTTTAACAAGACGATAGATGCAGCTTGGACCTACATTAACTTGACCAATGAGAAGATTGTAAAATTCAATGTCAGTGGGATGAGAGGAAATATAGAAGCTACATGGAGTTACTTGAAGACAGAAAACGAGAGGTCAATCAAGGTTAATGCATCTGCTATGAATAAAACTGCAGAAGCTGTCTGGAGCTACTCGAAGAGTAAGGACCAGAGAGCTCTTAAATTTAAAGCCGCGTTGATGAACAAGACGATTAAAGCCAGCTGGAGTTACATGAAGAACGAGAAAGAAAGAGCCATCATGTTTAACGCCTCCGCGTTGAACAAAACTGTTACAGCTGTCTGGGGCTTCGTGAGGAATCAGAATGAAAGCGCGCTGAGGTTTAAGGTCTCCACAATGAACAGAACAGCAGAAACCGTCTTGAGCTACTTCTGTAATGAAAACGAAAGATCCGTGAAGTTCAACGCCTCGGTAATGAACAAAACGGTGGAGGCTGTCTGGAGATACGCGAAGGGCGAAAACGAGAAATCTCTGCAGTTCAAGGCGTCCGCACTGAACAAATCTGTTGAGGCCATCTGGAGTTACTCGGAGAATGAGAATGAGAGAGCCATCAAAGTTAATGTCTCCGCCCTTAACAAGACTTCAGAAGCAATATGGAGCTACATCAGGGAGGAAAAGGAAGCAACCCTTAAATTTAAGGCTACTGCAATGAACAGAACGATTCAAACAATGTGGAGCTACATGGTAGACGAAAACGTAAGATCAATCAAGTTTAATGCCTCTGCCTTAAACAAAACTGCAGAAGCCATCTGGAGTTATTCCAACAACGCACGTGGGCGATCCATCAAGTTCAAAGCTACAACCTTGAACAAAACCATGGAGGCCGTCTGGACTCTCTTAAACACTGATTCCGAGAAGGGACTCCAGTTCAATCTTGCAGTGATGAATAAGACCGCGAATGCCTCGTTGATTTATTTCTCAAGCCCATCGAACTTGGGAGTTCGTTTCAATGTCAGTTGCTGCAACAAATCGTTCGAGCTAGAGAGCAAACTCGTTTTTCAGGAAAGGCAGAAGAAACTTGTGATCAACGCTTCCTACCAGAACTACACTGTCGCTCTGATTGGAATTTTCCAGAATTCAACAACTCAGAAGCGCGCTTGTCTGTTTCCTAAATATGTTGGTCGTTCTCATGGGGGAATCTGTGCCATTTTCACAAATAGCTCAGATGAGAAAAGCCTTTCCCTCAACTTTACCATCTTAAACAGAACAGGGGAATTGAAAACGCAGTGGGTTAAGAATCGCGTCGAAATGGCAAACCGAGTAACTGTTCAGTTCAACAGAACCACCCTCCTTGAATCCTGGTTAAGCTTCCTTCACTCGACCGAGAAGAAGAGTCTCAACTTTAACACGACGGTAATCAACAAATCAGCCAGTGCTTCTCTTTACTTCCGCAACACAACAGTCAAAGCTATTGGATTTGAAGCCACAGTTTTAAAGAAACACGTTGGCGTGGAAGGCGTCTGGCTCAATGGCAAGACCTTGAAAGAGGCTGCTGTCCAACTCTTCTGGAACAAGACTGTCGTCGCGAAAACTACCCTCAAGCTCTTGAATAATAGCAACCGCAAGATGGTCGAGGTACGCTCACAAGTTGACCGCTTCGCTGCAGAATGGCAGTCGTCACTGATTAGCCAATCAGGGGGTGTGAAAGAGCTCATAATGACCCGCATGGCTAGAAATGGAAGTCAAAGCCTATTCTTTGATAGCTCCAAACTGACATGGTCAAAAACGAGCAAGAGCCTTTCACTTGGTTGCCAGTACAATCTTAAACTGATGGGACGCTCTTATGAACACGGGTGGGTCGCAGCATACAACAACTATTCCAATGCCGAGGATTCCTATCACGAGGCCACTGTTTCTCTCATTTCCTTTAAAGACAAGGTTGTAACATTCACTGGTGTTTACAAAAACAACACGGAAGAGCTCTCCAACGTTCTCACCCTTAACTACCTGCCTGAGAAAACAATGACGCATTCCTTAACTTGGTTTAAGAAGAGCAATTCTGTAAAATTGAGCTTGGAGCTACTTCCAAGAAGGCCTATTACCTGGACAACCACCTGGAACACAGAGCATGGTATCTCGATCAACAGCGCCGTCGAGTTTTTGAACAAGAAAATTGAAAACTGGTTTACTTACAGCAGAACCACTGGTGAGTACAGTGGACACTTTGAGATCTGCCCGGCGTACCCTGTGAAAGTAAGTGGTCTGCTCACTATGGAGAATGGCTTGCACTTAACGAGCGAAATTTCGGCGTTCAAAAGAACATGGAATCACATGATCAATTTCAGAAAGAACGATCAGCAACTTCTCATATCCGTTGAGCTTGTCCCTAATATCCCCGTCGCCCTGGATGTTAACTGGAACACTAACCAAGGAATGCAAATTGCCATGGATTTGAAAGGTTTTAATAAATCACTTCAACTCTTCTCCTCCTACGACAACCTCACGAAGACGCTAGTTTCTGGCCTAACGGTTCTAAAGAAAACATTCACCTTAACTGAGAAACTGGACATAGAAAGGAAGACTCTGGTCCTGATGCTTGCTGCATTCAATCGTACCGTTGGTTTCACTGGACGGTTTGACTGGAATAACTATGTTGCTAGCTCTTTTGTAAGATACCAGAACAACCAAGCAGGATGGCTCTTAAGATTTAACCCAGCGGCGAGGAGCATTGTCTTCAATGTAACCGTTTCTCCAAGAATCTCGGGCCAGATTGTCGGCGAGATGCCAAATAACCGCAGTCTTCAGGTGACTCTTCAGCGTAAACTCGGTGTGAATGTGGTTAACGAGTCTCGTCTTATGTACCTCTTAAACGCAAAGGCAAGTCGCCTGACATTTACGTGGAATACGACCTCCGTAAACACTCTTGTGGGAAGAGTTCAGGTCTTAAAGTCTGTTATCAGAAGCACCATCGTGAAATACTATAATCTTACTGTCCGAAGAGCGAAGAACTATACTAAAGAACTAGACAGGATTGTGAAGACACTAGAAGCTAAAATCAGACCTGCGGCTCTGAAGCTGTACGCTCGGGTGAAGCGTTTCGATTACAATGGACTGGTGACGAATCTCACAGCAAAGGCTCAGAACGCCACGCTTCGACTTATCAACGTGACATTTAACTTCCTGAATGGCACTGTAAAGCGCTTTTCAATTGTCATGCGCAATGCCAGTGTATATTATAAAGGGATCCTGGGTAACGCTACTGATCTTTTCAAGAGTATTAACCTAAATGTAACCGAAGCCTACGAACGATTCCGACGAGAAGTGCTGCCACCCATAGTTGGAAATGTAACCCTACATCTGAAAAGTATCACTCGAGATATCAAAGTCTGGGCGAATAACGTTTCCCTTTTAGTGGGTTCCGTGACACTTCGTGGGCAGAATCTTAAGGATATAGCCAAGAACATCTCTGGCAAGGTTAAAGTTGTAACAGCAGCCCTTCTTGAAAAAGTTAAATTGAAAACACGTGAACTTATTGTCAAAATTCGAGAGGTTGAGATTCGTGGGGAAAAAGTTGGTCCTTTGTTCGACGAATACGTGTCTAAAGTTGAGGAATTCACATGTGGTTTTAATACCTCCTGTACACTTGAAAATTTAACCGTCATCGCCAAGAGCTTGGGAAAGAGTATTCGTAATATCACGGTTCTCAACAAGACTGTTGAAGAACACGTCAAGCTTCTGAACAAGACAATCCAGCAGCACTTCAAACAGTTCAACACCACGCTTCGCCAGCAGTTAAAAACCCTGCACAAGAAAGCCTGCTTTGTACATCAGATAGTGATGAATTTCACGAGGAATGCAACGAGAATTCTTCCGAGGCTAGTACGAAATGTTACCATCCAAGCCATTCGCCTGGCGAGAAGCGTAAGCAATGAAGTTCGGATCATAGCCGTGAAGGTCAGAAATGTCACACTTGCAACTTACACTAAGCTGACAACGATCAACAGCCCACTCATCAACTTCACAACCAAAGCTTACATCTCTATTAAAGGAAAAGTGTATCCTTTGATGGTAAAGGTTTTCCACCCCATTCGCAAGTTTGCTATGGAGCTTAACAACAATGTATCCGCTTATCTGAGGCCCATTGTTCCTTTGGCACTTGGCACTATGTACCAACTAAGAAACATCACTATCCGTGGTATCCCCATTGGCCACACACTGGATAAAGCGGTTATCATTTCCTTGAAGTTAACATCGGAAACTTTAAAGTCTATCAATCACACGCTCAGTAGTAACATCTCCGCCGTTGTCAGCTTTATCCGCGAAAATGCAGCAAAGAAACCTGGAGAGATCATAGATTTGACCATCAGGAAGAGCATCCAGCTTTACAATCTCACCATGAAAGTCTTTAACCAGTCTCTACACCTCAACCTGAGCAAGCACGTTTCTCTGGCCTACAACAAATCTGTGGAAGTCTTCAACAAGACCCTGCAAAAGCTTCTGGAGCTTCGTCCTAAAGATATGATAGAAATATCTATTGAGCGAATCGAAGACTTTGCTAGGAACATCACCGCAGAGGTTTTAAACATCACTAAACAACTACGTGGCCTGGACCTTATTCTTCGCTTGAAGACAGCATGGGCGGAAATGGACCTTAAAGGTAAAATTGAAGCTCTTGGACTTAAGGCGAGATGGCAAAACCTCGTGCAGCGCATTCGAGCAGTCAACATAAAAGAACGGGCACTCCTGGTTAAATACTACATCAGTAACGTAACACTGAAAGTACAGAATGAATTACAGGACCTCATCAGACTTACCCAACATATCTTGAACTTAACAGGTTCCCTTATCCGCATGAATACTACCAAAGAGGTGTTGCTGGAAGAATTCATTTCCCTTGCAAATGAGAGTAGCCGCATTTTCATCAAGTATGGCATCATGGCTAGGAACACCACCTCCGAGTGGAGAAGGAAGCTGCTCAATGCTTCTTATGAAACGATCAACTTCTACAAGAGTTTAACTCTTAACAAAACCATTGAAGCCTACATCTTGTTGAAGAAGCATGGGCAGGCGCTCTATGATGAGCATCGTGACGACGCAATGAGGGTCTACAACTTCTACAAAAATGCAACGTGGGAGATGTACGAGGAACTGAAAGAAAACGCCGTGGAGAAACTTCAGCAATATCGTGCCAATATGACCATTAAGGTGAACGCATTGGTGGCAAAACTGAGACAATGTGAGAACATGACGTACGAAGAGATCGTAATCAAGGCCTATGAGTTCTCCAGAAAACATGGATTGGCTATTTATAATAATGTCACTCTGCGTGCTATCAGGATCTACAGGAACGTTACCATCCGTGCATTGAAACTGTACAAGAACATTTCCACCCGTGGACTGCAGTACTACAAGAACATCTCCCTGGAGGCAATTAGCCTCTACAGGAATGCTACGGTTCGCGTTCTCTCCCTGTATAAGAACATCAGCGCTCATGGAATTCAACTCTACAAGAATATCACTGTTCGTGGAATTCAACTTTACAAGAATGTCACCTTGGTTGTATCTCAACTCTACAAGAATGTTACCTTGCGTGCAAATCAGCTTTATAAGAATGTCACCCTACGCGCAATAGAACTCTTCAACGTCACCAAGAATGCCACTCTTAAAGCGTACAACCTCACACTGACCCTGGTCAATCGTACGAAGCTTCTGACCATTAAGTACCTGGTTGTCACTCGCAACCTAACCCTCCATTACTTCAATGTCACTCGAAACTACACTCTTCAATACTACAACTCGACTCGCAGTCTTGCTTTCAAGTATTATCAGAAGTACTACAACCTGAGCCGGAACTATACTCTCTACATATACAACGTGACACGCAACATGACGTTCCCTGGCCTTAACAAGACACGTGAGTTTGCCCTCCGTGGAATACGATACCTGCAGTATCTAAACGAGACTTTGGTGCCCATCATGAAGGAACGATTCCTAACAGGAAAAGTCTTGGCTGCGAGATACGTCAACGAGACTGTACTGTTTGTACGAGGAACTATGTATATGGTAAAAGTATGGTATCGAGAGAACAAAGAGAAGACCGTTGATGAGCTGTATTATGAAGTGTACCAACTTGCAGAGCATTATTCCATCGTAGCAAAAGAACTCTTAAGGCGCAAGTACGGTAAAATTAAAGAACGCGTACAGGAAAAGATAACCCAGTTGCAGACAAATTTGAACATTAAGTTGGAAGGATGGAAAGAGAAGCTTCATAAGCTGAACACAACGGTGGTAAACATGATAGCAGAAGCAATCTCCTTATACAACCAGACTGCTGACGTTACTTATATCGCTGCAAAAGAACTTGTTTCTATCTTCCATCCCTATGTCACGTCCTTGCACAATAAGACTGTTATCTACTTTGTCCAGGCCAAGAACATCTCCCTGCCTCTCATTGGCAAGGCAAGAAACTTCACACTTTTGAAACTCGAGGAGACACGAAAGCTGATTAACGAGACATACAAGAACTTAATTGAATCGGAACACCTTCGGGACCTTATTCAGAAACTTCAGTTACAACAGCGTTACGCCAAAGCAGAAGGGCTCATTCGTAAGAAATATGAAGAACTTGAGGAATATGTCAAGGAGATAAAACCTAAAGTTCAGGCTAAAGTCCAAGAAACGGTTGATTACTTGAACGTATCACTTCCACTCAGATTCAAGGAAAGGTATATCTTTGTGCAGGAGAAGTACCAGATGATTATGGCTAATCCTCGAATTTTCATTGAAAGAGTTCTCAGGAACGCTCTGATGTATCTCAGAAATGCCACAAGGGAGACCCCAATCGAGGAATACCTTTATGAAGAAAGATGGGTAGAGCTTATTGAGCAAGCTAAGCAGCATGAGCTGGTTGAAGTTGGCCGAAATCTCACGAACTACACTTCCGATTATGCGCGACTAGCTGTAAAGTTGGCGTCAAAGAATCTTAAGCTGTTCATAGAGCAACTCAAGAACCAAACTAGCCTGATCAAAGAAAAGGTAAAAGCTAAGGTACAAGAGACGCGGCAGACACTGATTGAAAATCTTGAAGGTTTGAGGGCCAAGAAACTCCGAGAAATCGTCGAGCATGATTATGTTTATCAGACCATCGAACTGGCGAAAAATGTTACTCTGAGAGTTAAGGATACAGTTCAAGGAGCCCGTAATCTAACGCGCAAGATCATGGTAGTCGGACAGCTGTACTACAAAAACATCACTGCCAAAGTTGGAAACTACACCCTCCTTCTTAGGATGAAAGTTCACAATTACACGAAGTTTCTAAAGCAGCGTGTCCAAAACTATTCCAGGATACTGAACGAGACCATTCGTAATTACACCAAGATTCTGAATGAGACGGTTTACAGTTACACCAAGATCATAAAGGCACAAGTTAAGAATTACACCAACTTGATCAACGTTACTGTTCAGAGCTACACTAGAATTCTGAATGCCTCCATACAGAACTACACAAAGATCTTGAATGCGTCGATGAAGCACTACACAAAGATGTTAAATGCGTCGATTAAGCACTACGCTAAGATCCTGAATGCTTCGATTCAGAACTATACCAGTATTCTACAGGCTAAAGTTCAGAATTACACGAAGATTGTCAAGGCGCATTTCAAGAATTTCACCTTAGTTTTGAGAGGCCATTATGAACGCATATACGAGAGCCACTTCCTTCCACTTTACAGAAATGGTACTATAATGGTTTACAAGTACAAAGCGATGGCTCAGCATTGCATTGGTCGATGTAGTAACGTGACTTTGAGAGCAATTTCCATGGCACGCAACTGGACAACAGCTAAACTGAACCTGACGCGTGCGTGGATAAACCAGACTCTGGAGAAGGGTATCAAGTATTACAGGGACGAATTAAAGCCACTGTATCACAGCAAAGTTCTTCCTTTCTATAATAATACTCTCCAGCCTATGTACCACAACCTCAGTAAACTCGTAGGAACACTTAAGAGGAACTTGACATTACAGGCAATCATCGTGAAAGAGCGCGCGATCAACTTGACTGACCAACTTGTCAATCTCACAATCAATAGTGATCCTTACGCTATGCTTCGAAAGGTGGGCAAAATGACCATCCGCGAGTCTGTCATAGAGGGACGCACCATGTACATCCGGGCTTACAACTACACACTGAACCTTACCCGACTGGTTGTGAATGTAACGCTGACAAAGCTAAACGTCACTAAGACCCGACTGGAACTCGCTATAAACAAGACTATGTTGATCATTAATACAACTATAGTGGAAGCAAAACCCGTTATTGCCTTCTTGAATGCAACACGCGTAGAGATGATGGAGACGGCGATATTCATCTGCAAGTACTATGGACTTGAGGACTCGGTAAAAGAGCGTGTACGAAGAAGCCTTGACATTACGAAAAATGTCACCATGAAAGCTGTCAACGCGGTTAAACGTTATGCTCCCGTGCTCCTAAAGGCATCAACGGCAAAAGTACTTGGCATTTTTAACTACACCATTCCATACGCCCGCGATTATCTCAATCGTACTATTGTCTATTTCAACGCAACTCTCGTCAAGGCAAGGCATCTACTGAATGTCAGCATTCACAATGCCACAGTGCTCCTTAACCAGACCCTTTACAAGGCAATTCAATTAACCAGGACTGCTTTCAATGGAACCGTTCCCAAGATTATCCGTCTTTTGAATGTCAGCATCCACAATGCCACAGTACTCCTTAATCAGACCATTTACAAGACAATTCAAGTTACAAGGACTGCTTTCAACGGAACTGTTCATAAGATGATCCATCTACTGAATGTCAGCTTTCACAATGCCACAGTGCTCCTTAACCAGACCATCCAGAAGACAATTCAAGTTACAAGGACTACTTTCAACGGAACTGTTCATAAGATGATCCATCTACTGAATGTCAGCTTTCACAATGCCACAGTGCTCCTTAACCAGACCATCCACAAGACAATTCAAGTTACAAGGACTACTTTCAACGGAACTGTTGAAAAGATGATCCATCTACTGAATTTCAGCATCCACAATGCCACAGTGCTCCTTAACGAGACCATCCAGAAGATAATTCAAGTTGCAAGGACTACTTTCAACGAAACTGTTCACAAAACTATCCAGTATGCCCGGGTTGCGTTCAACAAAACCGTTGACAAAACAGTCCAACTCGCCCAGGTTGTTCTCAACACGACGATCAACAAAGCCAAGTCAGCTTTCAACTACACTATCAGCAGAGCCCGTTTCTCTATCCAGAAAGTCCGTGTTGCAGTTAATGAAACCATTGACAAGGCGCGTATTTCCCTAGAGAGAGTTCGCTTAACCATCAATGAGACCATCGCTGATTTCCGTGCGGCTCTTCCAAACTATATCCAAGTGAGGGATGGCGAAATCACTCTTGTTGTACCACATCCAAGAGCCATTCAATTGAACATAACTTCTCTCGCTGTTGCTACGATTGGAAGACTCAGAAACTTGTCAATGGAAGCTCGTGGCATAATCGTTTCCAAGATAGAGGCTTTGAAACACGATGCGGTGCTTAAGTTTGAGACCTTGAAAACCACCGTACAGTCCTTTAAAGTAAATGCACTGGATAAGATCAACACCTCGAAAGAAGAAGTCTTGAAAAAGATGGAAACATTGAAACGCGAAGTTGTTGCCACGATGAATTCTTTAAAGAAAAACGCACTTTTAAAAATGGAGGAGTTGAAAGTTAACGCGTTAGAGAAAGTAAGCGAGTTGAAGGTTAAAGCAGCGAATCTGACTAGGCGTGTGAAGACTCTAGGAAAAGCCTTGGTTGCTGAGGCCATGAACAGAACGGTGCTGTACCGCCAAAGGGCCTACGGACTTGTAATGGAAGCTTACAACATCACTAGGCGTGTGAAGACTATAGGCAAAGCCTTGGTCGCTGTGGCCATGAACAGAACAGTGCTGTACCACCAAAAGGCGTATGGATATATCATGGAAGCATACAACATCAGCAAGAATTACCCGGCGACTGCGAGGTACATTAATGTTACTCTCCATTACATTAACATCACCAAGGACTTGGCTGATTTCTACCGCCAGAACGGCTACGCGTTTGTGATGAATGCTTACAACCTAACAAAGAACCATCCTGTCATCATGAAATTCCTGAACCTAACTGTTCGATATTTCGCCTTGACCAAAGAACTGGCTGTGAAGTACCACCAGACGACAATCAGGCTGGCGACAAACTATTACAACCTGACAAGGAACCATCCAATTATACTGGAGTACACGAACAAGACTCTCGAGTATTTCGGCGTCGCCAAGAACTATGTCAGAGGCCTGAGCTTGACCCAGTTTAAGAACACGACTGTGACGTATGTTGCTCGCGTTTTAAATGTGTCCCGCCGATATTTCAACATAACACAGATCAGGAACAGCACAGAGAAATATCTTGTCCAAGCCTTGAACATTACGCGCCAATATCTGAACGTCACACAGATCGAGAACTTCAGCCGCCTTTACTTAAACCAAATGCGAAACCTTACCTACAAGTTGCTGAACATGTCGCGCCAGAGCCAATTCCTTAACCAAGTGAGGAACATGACGTACAAATTCCTAGACTTGTCTCGACGTTGCACTTTCTTTAAACAGATGAGAAACGCGACACACAAGTTCTTAGCGTTGTCTAGACGTTGTACCTTCTTTAAACAGATGAGAAACGCGACGTACAAGTTCCTTGACCTGGCACGCCGGTGTACCTTCTTCAAACAGATGAGAAACGCAACGCACATGTTCCTCAACCTGTCACGTCGTTGCACCTTCCTTAATCAACCAAAGAATGTAACGCTGAAGTACCTGTATCGAGCTGTGAACTTGTCACGCCACTGTCTAAACATCACACAAAAGTATCTGTCACAAGCCTTGAATCTGTCACGCCAGTGGTACAGGATAGGAGTTAACGCAACGCTGAACTACTCCATGCAAGTGTACAGAATCGCCGAGAATGTAACGCTGGACATCTATAACTCGAGCTGTCTTAAGGAAGCTTTTGCCAAGGCGACGAAATACTCGACGATTGCTTTGAATGCCACTGTGAAGCTTTGCAGTAACTATTCCAGCACTGCTTTGAACAAGACTATGATTTTATACAGGAACTATTCAACAGTAGCCTTAAACAAGACTCTAGCCTTGTACCGAGAAACTTTAAATAGAGCTAGGAACTTCTCCGTAGTAGCAGTAAAGAAGACCATTAAACTATACAGACGCATGCGCAACAGGGCATTGGTAATCATTTCCAACACGACGTTAGTGAAGCAGTACATCCCTATGGTCAAGAAATATGTGCCACTCGCTATCAACATCACCCGTAACTTCACTGTACAGACATACAGAGTAGCAGTAAATGTAACCTTGGATGTTTATAACTCCAGTTGTCTGGAAGAGGCCTTCAACAAAACAAGACGATACTCGAAGATAGCTTTCAACGCCACCATGAAAGTCTGCCAAGTGGCATTGGTACGCGCTAAGAATGTTTCTGCCATTGCATTAAACAAGACCTTCGCATTGTGCAAGAATTATTCTGCCATAGCTTTGAATAAGGCTATCGCCCTCTACAACAAGACGCTTGAACTGTACAAGATTTGCTCCAAGATAGCTTTGAACAAGACAATCGCCTTCTACGACAAGACAGTTGAACTTTGCAGGAACTACCCTAGGATTGCTCTCAACAAGACCATCGCCTTCTACAATAAAACAGTCAAGCTATGCAGACGTCTGTACAATAGGACCATGACGGTCGTGTACAACACAACTTTAGTGAAGCGCTACATTCCTATGGTCAAAAAGTACGTGCCCCTTGCTGTCAATGCCACCCGAAACTTCACTGTGAGGGCCTACAAAGTGGTAGTAAATATAACAATGGACATCTACAATTCCAGTTGTTTAGGAGAGGCCTTCAACAAAACAAGAAAATACTCGAGGATAGCTGTCAACAAAACCGTGAAACTCTACCAAGTAGCAGTGGTACACGCTAGAAATATCTCTGGTTTAGCTCTGAACAAGACCTTTGCACTGTACAAGAACTACTCAACGATAGCTTTGAACAAGACCATCGCCATCTACAACAAGACCCTTGATTTGTACAGAAATTGTTCCAAGATAGTTTTGAACAAGACAATGGCTTGCTTTAACAAGACACTAGGAGTGTACAAGAATTACTCCTCCATAGTTTTGAACAAAACTATCGCCTTCTATAACAGAACAGTGAAGCTTTGTAAGCGTCTGTACAAGAAATCCATGGTAATCGTATCCAACACCACATTGGTTAAGTACTATATTCCAATGGCGAAGAAATACCTGCCAGTTGCCGTTAATACCACACGAAACTTCACTCTAAAGGCGTACAGGCTGGTTGTGAGTGTAACCTTGGACATCTACAATTCCAGTTGTCTCGGAGAAGCTTTTAACAAAACCAGAAACTACTCTAAGATGGCTTTCTACACAACCGTCAGACTGTACAAAATGGCAGCGATTAAAGCAAGGAATTATTCCGGAATGGTGTTGAACAAGACCCTCGGATTGTACAAGAACTATTCCACCATCGCATTGAACAAGACGTTAGAGTTGTATGGAGAAGTGCTAATTAAGGTGAAGAACTATTCAGCGTTAAACAAGACCATTGCCCTCTGTCAAGGTGTATACATCAAAGGCGTAGAAGTAACGAAGAAGTACCTCCCGATGGCATATAATCTCTCACGCCGGTGGTGCGGTGCCGGATTTAACACCACTCGCAGCTTTGTTCTTCAAGTCTACAGGAACGCCGTGAACGCAACTCTCGACATTTGTCAATCCGAGAACCTGCCTCAAGCCTTAGTGAAGTTCAGGAATTACTCCATTGAAGTCTTTGACCAGACCGTGGAGTTATGTCAGAGGTTCTATCGTCAGTTGTACAACGCTACTCTTGAGAAATATCGCGATGTTTACAGCCAGTCCTTGGCGCTGTACAGGAAAATAGCTTATCATGAGATAACAGTGGAGTGTATCAACAGAGCCCGCAGCTACTTCCACTACTCGAAACATATAGTCAAGATGAGAGTTAGGAACTTCCATCGAGCCAAGGGTCACTTGCAAAAGCGGGTCAACCATCATATAAACCGAGTGACACACCTGTTGAACCCAATCAATTGGATTCCACCTTTTAATAGTAAGTATTACTCGATGATTTTTGTTTTAATGGCCTTTGTAGAGCACTTCTGGGAAAAACGGAAGACCCATGTGATAAATCGTTATCCCGACACTCTCCAGGACGCCGGTAGCCCTTCCATCATATACACTACAGAATCCAGAGATCTGGCATTCTGGGCCTGATATCAAGACATCTTTTTGATTTCTAAGTCTTTGTGTATTATCTTGTATATTACCACAGAAAAGTAAGGAAAGAAAGGGTTGATCTATCTAAATGACAATTATCCGAACTTTTGGCTTAAACCACTTTTGTTGCAGAAAATTAACTATATTTTCGCTCTTTTTTGCTTCAGGCACAGCCATGATCTTTGGAGGACCTCATGTGTACACGTTTGACGGCACCTATTACACGTTCCCTGGTTATAAGAAGCCTAATTGCATGTATGTGCTGGCAAGGGACGTTCGTGATAATAAGTTTACCATCATGAGTCAAGAGACCGCCATCTTAGTTGTCACGAAGGACTCCAGTGTGAAGATACACCAGGATGGAAGAGTGGAGACCATTGTCAAGGTTAGTATAGAAAAATTTGGTACTGTAAGAGATTGATCAACTGAACTTTATCTTGCAAACTTGCACCATGTCAAATCAAAGATTCAACTAAATATGTACTTAATGTTTATTGTTATTAGTTATTCGTGCGTGATACTGGGGACCACACCCAATGGACAAAAGGCACTTGGACATTTTCTGAAACCACCGTCGCAAACTCACGACATTGCGAAGGATTTTGCGTAGCGCGGAAAAATAAGTACAGGTCCATTAAGATTTGACGAGAAACTTAGTTTAGGAAGAGAAAGGGTGCAGCAAGTTCTTGTCTGTACTGCGAAGTCAGTATCTCCACCCTTAAACCTCAAGAGTCACCCAACATTCAATTTTTCTCCATAGTTACATTGTTCGATCAAATACAAAGGTAGTAAGAAAATAAAGTGATCACCAAGCGAAAAGGTTTTGATTGTTAAATAAATTATCCTCATAAATACTAAAGGAATTGTTTAACGAAGAGGGTGGAAAATACGTATATTATCTACCGTTTTCAGATTACCACGTCCGGAAAGAAAACAAGTGACGGTTTCGTCAGTGAGCTCCCTGTGGAAACGCTCAACACCACCGTTCAGCGGGAAGGTTCCTTCATTATCCTTCGACATGATCTTGGCTTGGAGATTGTTTGTGACGTTGAACATTATCTGTGCACCTTTAACATTGCCAAATGGTACCACGGCAGGATGGCAGGTAACACTTGCTTCAAAATGTTAGCTTAGTGAAGGGGTAGGTGGGCATTTTCTCAGAAATCTAAATTGATCAAATGTTCACACTTCTTTTACATTTACAAGTGAAAATATAAGCGCAACTAAACGGGGAAATATGTCTATTACGACCCCGTTATTTGGAAAGTTTAGTCTCTTTGATTACATGCAGTTGAAAAATAAAAAAAACTTTTCTTATGGAGCACCTCTTTTCATTTTTGCCCAATTGCCCTTCGCGTTTCCCCTTTCCCTCGTTCCACTCTATTACGTTAGCCACGCTGGCTACGAAGATACCAACTGATATATCCCAGATGTCATCCTTTGTTGTAATACAGACTCTTAGCCCTGCTTTCTGGGGGCTATGAAGCGTGGTATGGAAGGGAGAGGGGAGGCGGGGGAAGAGGGGGGAGTTAGACAGGTGAAGGTACTTAGCTGTAACCTTACGGCGTTTTTGTAATCATGCTGTTACGCTTCGACTAAGACTAATTGCCAAGCCAACATCGTTTTATCTCTTTTTAGGTCTCCTGGGAACCAACAATAACGAGTTCCATGATGAGTTTATGACAGCTAAGAACAAACCAACTAAGAAACTGACCGAATTCGTCAATTCTTGGGAGATCACCCGTGATCCAGAATGCAAGATCCATTCTATTGTTCCTGAAAAACCCAAGTGTAAGGAGACCAGCTACATTCAACGTTGCCGCGCTCTGTTCAAGGACAAGAAGTCGCCACTCCATCGGTACTTTTCCGTTGTTAATCCCGAGCCTTTCGTCAAGGCCTGTGAAATCGATTACAAGGATTGTGAGACCAGTACACCCAAGGACATGAAGCACTGCAATACGACTGCCGCCTACATCGAGCTGGTTAGAATGCGAGGAGAATGGGCCGACTATCTGCCAGAATGTGGTAAGTTAAAGTGGTCATACAATTGACCAAATGAGTCAGACACCGTTGGGATAGGCTCTTAGTGTCTCTATTAGAGTCATGTCCGTCTAATATAGAGTCAAATAAACGAAGTAAAGACAGGAGGTGTCCGTCCTACAGAGGTGTCTGTATTATAGAGTTGTCTGTATTTTTTGATGTGAATAAGTTACAGTCACCGTGGTTTTTTATTTTCAGTGACTCACAGTAAGAGATGACAGGTCATAGAATATAATACATTTCATAGCTATTTCGAATAGGTATCTCGTATAAAGTAAACTACATTTCGTATGGAAGCCAGGAATTAATGAACTCTATTACCGTCTGTTTTGTAGGTCGTTGCGGATCAAACCAGATGGGTAAGAGATGGTTTCAGCGAGCAAACAACATGGTTGATGTTGTGGTGTTGGTGCACGAGACATCAGTCCTCAAGGCTTACGCAGAGAAGATACCATCTTTACTGGGCAGCATCACCAAGGCTCTAGACTCTTACAAGTATTCTTTCAAGTTCGGCGTTATGGCTTTTGGAGGTCGCTTGTCACATGGGCGCCCGCATGCAATCACTCTTAACGGTCAGCTGATGAATGACTTAGACAGTTTGGATAGCGCTTTTGAACATCTGAAATTCGCTGGCGAGGAGTCTGAGAATGACACTGGAGACGCTTTGGAGGCTATGGCAAAGGCAGCTTATGTGTATCCATTCAGACCAGGTAAGGTCAAAAATCACGCATGACTGTTGTAGGGGAATACATTAGGACAGATAACAGCTTCAAGGAACTAGCCAACAATACAAGTGAAATAGAAGATCAACAACTAAAAACAGTAAAAGCACATTAAAAGTACAAAAGAAAAGAATGAACAATAATTCATTAAGAATTAAACGCATTGCAGTAGTGGTTTTGAAAAACTGTTTAGATTAAACATTATTTTAAACTGTTGTATATAACTTGTGAATTATGAAGCTTTGAGTTTCTAATTTAGAAGTAATCTCTTCTCTCTTGTTAAGTTTCACCGCAAGTAATTGACAGGTGAATAAATTCAGCGAGATGTGTTAAAACAGTCTCTTTAATCCAAATTCTACATCCTAAAGGCCTGAAATAATCTAGCAGAAAGGGAAGCCTCGGATTATGTTACAGCCTGTTTACATGGCGTTCCCTTCTATTAAACTGCCATCTCCTTCCCCCTGCCTTTCATTGTATTAACCAATATGGTTTGTGTCCTTTAGCTGCTACCAAGATCTTCTTACTGCTGACCAGCAAAGAACACAGCGCATTGGTTCACGCCGTTACTGTAGACAGTATGGGCAAACTGTTGGAGGCAAAAGAAATCACTCTCAACGTTATTGGCAAGTACAGGAAATACAGTGGCGAGGTGGTTGGACAAGACTACAGAGGACGAGTGTTCTACAGAAAGAAGCCGGAAACGGGTACTGGCGCAGCTCCTCTCCCAGATGGCGAATACGTATCACTGATGAAAGGAACGCAAGGTTCTGTATTTGGATTGCCATTCTTGGGCTCGAAGAATAAGGATAAATTTGGAGCTTTGCAACTAGCCAGTTTGAGCACGTGGCGAGAGCAGATTAAACGAGATCAGGTCACTTGTAAGGAATGCTTCTGCGCCCGTGGTGATTCTGGCCAGGGTAAGACCGTCTGTAAGGTGAACTCCTTCCACCAGAAGTGCTGAGGACAGCAAAAATGGTAAGAAGAAAGTGTTCTAAATCTTGCGCATTCTAAGAGCGAAATATGCATAAAAAAATTAATATTCTCGTAAATTGTTGTCGAATTGCCAATATCTCCAGGTTAAAGTACTACAAAAGAGGCTTCATTTCTGTTTTTTAAAAGCTGGTATTTTTGTCCACTTTTACCCCAAGAGTAACAAAGCAGATCCAAAGGCCGGGGTTTCTTTTGAATGGTCGCACCACTGAATTTTCCCATAGATAAGCGTGCATAGCAGGCGTTATATTTCCGCGTTTTTCAGGCGAGCGAAGGGAGGAGCGAAGCGGGCGTGGAGCGCGAAACACGGGCGACGTCTGGCGCTCTTCGCTCGCCTAAACAACGCCAAAAAATAACGCCTGTCATGCAGGCTACCCACAGATAAAAGACGTTCCTGTCTGTCTCATTTTCTAAGATAACTGAAGACTAACACTTCTCTTTCTCCATATTTCAGACAATTCCAGAGAGGCCAGTAGAGCAATCGCCCAGTTTTGCCCACAGAACTGTACAAAAGTTATATTTGTTTTGTGTTATTAGTTGCTAGATAAAAAAAATATCGTTATAAGGCCATTGAAATTACCATACGAAGTATTTTAAATTAATTTATACCAGAAACGATAATTTTATTAGACAGTTATTCAGATTGAGTCGATTCCATTCGTCAAAACAACCGATAATCGTATTGTTAAGTTAATGGCAGGGCTTATGTGGGTTAGTTGTTGTACTGGCTGATTCCTGGCAAGGTATACGCATTGGAATTCAAGCAACTTATTTAACTTAATTGTCTGGCAGAATAGATTCCAGCAGACAATATAAAATTGATTATTTGTTTTAAGCCCAATAGGACTTCGAAAGCTGAAGGGCGTGAAAATATTTTTTGATTGATAGTTTCAGTTGTTGTTTTTCTTTAAATATTTTTCGTTCTTTATCTTCTTGGCATTCGCAAATGAAGATTGCAGAGAAAGGCGTCAGGCGAGTCTGTTTTTCTGATGTAGCGATTGTAGCCAGAATATTAACTTGTTAACTTAAACGTTTTTATAGTTTTGGGGTTAAGGTTTCAATAAAATATCGTGAACTATGAGACTGAGAGTGCAACTTGCTTCTTTCTACAATATTTGAAAAATTCATTTTGTTAGACTGAAGTTTCTCTTGCTGCGATCTTTTAGGGGTTTATGTTCTTACAATTTTTTTGCAGGGGTCACGGCCGACGCGCCATTGACGTAAATATTTCGCCGCCAATATAGCCGTTTCTGTAAACTTGCGAGCGGGAAACTTTGATAAAACACATCAAAGTTCTAGAGCGTTGAAATGACAGCAATTTCGTAGATATAATTCACCTCAAAGTCGCTGATAGCTGAAATCGCATGAAAATATACAGCCTGGGCAAAAGCGTCTATAGCCCATCTTTCAACTCAACCACGAAAACTCTTAATTGGTATTCTCATAGTTTCTATTCTAGGAGTCAGAATCCTCTTAATTTTATCTTTTTCAAACTTAGGCAAAAACTCTTGCGTCTTTTAAACCGGAGGGTAGGTAAATCGCAATTTAAAACCACCTAAGACTGGAAACCTTCGGGCACTGAAATGGAATAATTTTGTCCTTTATTATATTTAGAACTGAAACACACATCGCCTTCTGCGCCGCAAATTTTGATTAATATGCCACTTACGAGTTCCAAAAACCCTCACTTACAAAATGAGGCCAAGTGCACAACCTTTCTTGTGGAAAAAGGTTTCATTTGCATGAGAATGCAAAATCAGTTTCATATCAAAGGGTGAGCACTTGCTTTGTTTTGATAAAGAGGCCCGTGGTTCATTATTGACCGGTTGCCATTTTTAACAGAGACGACTGAAGGAAATAGAGTGTTCCACAGGTAGACCAACAATAGGGGCTTCTGCTCTCCCGACTCTCCCAAATGGAGAGCTTACTCGCCGGCTACTCTCGGGTCTAGCCTGAGTATCAGGCATCTTCTGGGGGGAAAGGGGAAAAATGGAAGCAAAACGGGAGAGAGCTGAAGGAGAGATACCTTCCTTTCTCTTCTCCCCCCTCTCCCCTCCCACATCTAAAATCTCCTCTCCCCTAGCCCCTTAGGACGGCCTGTTACTCGTGCTATCTCGGGTCCGGTTAAACGTCGCAGGAGTCGAGGAGAAAAGAACCTCTATGCGTCGAGCGATGCCTGTATGCCCTCTAACATCCTAGAATGCTTCCCGCTTCGAAGCTTTTGTGAGGGGAATACTACTTTTATCTTTCGATGTCATGTGACCTCCAAGTAGCCAATTGAAAGCATGAGATTGCGTTATACAATAGCTCGAGACGCCTTGATTGTAAAGGGTAGTCTCTCTGGAGTAGATATGAGGCCCGGAGCGGGGGTAGTCTCGTATATGGGCTTTATCGGTATGTGTTTCCCGATAGGGTATGGTTTTTTAGGGTCACGATCCTTAGGGAGGGTATCATTTCTCCGTTTGTAGGCATTGCGGTCCATGTGTGAACCTCAGATAAGATACCTATGCCCAGCTATAGCTAAGCAAGAAACAAATAATCTGCTAAATCTGAACTATCTCTTAACCACTAAGGAAGGTTTGTGAGCTGCGGATCTGGGCCTTAAAAGGGATAAAACTTTCAGTCTGTCTCATCCCCCATTACCTGGGCAGAATTTATGATGAGAATAGCGCCCTCCCCCCCCCCCTGCCCCCCTTGCCCCCCGTTACGATATGAACGAAAATTCAAACTAAAAACATGTTCCAGCCTGTGAACAGCCTCTCCTTTTTGGGGGAAGGTCGTCTATTTTTAAGTTTTTTTAACGCTTCTGTTTTGCGTTGATTGGTGCTAACATTCGGGGTTGATTTTGATTGGCTTTCAGACTCGTCAGTCGTATAACAACACTTTGCTCGTGTCTGGAATGGACTTTGCACCGAAATTTAATTGAGGCAAATCATTCACGCTTTTTCTTAAGACGGTGCATTAAATTTTGTATTTTCCTCGCCAAAATAATTATTTGAAAGGTGCGCTAGAATTTTACACCACGAAATCTAATTCCATCATTTTTTTCTAGCCACTCAGTACGGATTATTTTAGTTTAGGTGACAAAGTGAATTCCATATTTTAATTTTTTTGTTATAAATATTGTTTTATTTAAAGTGGTCTGATTAAATATAACGAAGGTAAAAAAGTAGCAACTTATCTGGAGAAAGGACTCTTTGTTTACAGCGTGAGAGTCCTCCCAATCCACGTGTGCCCCAAGTTGTCGAAAAATATATCCGAGAATTTCTTTCTTCTTCCAAAAGAGAAAATATAAAATAAAGAATTGTCCAGGGGAGTTTCCCGCTGTTATGTATTTATAAGGAGAATAGGTGTAAATTTTAATACAAAACTGTGTTTTAGGGATCTTTTGTGAGTCAAGCGCGCGAAATTGAGTTGTATGCAAATATTGGAGTTGTTTACCTTAGATTTGCATGAAGTGTGCATTCAACCGAATCGCCGTGTCGGAGGTTGTCACTGGGGCAGATTAGTTTACGATGCTCACCACACTCTGTATAAAATTTTTGGGTGAGCGGTCTTGCGTGAACCAAAGGCTTTTCGATTCTACCGTGTTTTTCAGCTTGAGTGTTTATTCTGGGGACTATCAACCTAAATCTCCTGCATTCCCAAAGATAACGGCTGGCGAATGTGGGGAGTGATGCCACCACTGAAAGACGAGTTGAAGAATCGACAAAATAAGCTTATGGACGCAGCAAGCAGCGAAACTAGTGAGCGCGACACCGGTGAAAGCCCCGCGAATTCTTCAGGAATAAATCTGCTGAACTCAATCAAAACTTTCCTTTGGTCGCCGTCAAAGGATAGCGAGAATGATCGTCCTTCGAAACGCAAACGATCGGACTCCGAAAGTGAAGACGAAGAAGATGCAATCATCACATCAAACCTGCTCAAGAAGCGAAAATTTACTACCGAGACAACGGTTGTAAATTCGGTTACTACGAAGTGCCTTCCCGATGGGGAGCAATCGAAGCGTAAATCTCTTTTGGGAACTTTGTTTTCGCCGGTTTTTACGCTGTTCGGGAAGAACGGCCACATTCAACCAGTAGGTAAAGAAGCTTCGCCTTTATCTAACGGGTCTCGGATTTGTGGCGCGAGCAATGGCGGTGTAAACGAAGAGAACGCTGGCGCTTCTATCGTGAACAGAGGCGCTTTAGATGCCACCAATGGAGATGTCAACGGCAATGTTGAAGATGATGTCCCTGAGTCTGCAGATGCTGAGTGGGACGTTTACGATCCGTTTTATTTCATCCGCAACCTTCCCCCACCTGAAGAAGGTGAAGACGCGAAAAGCCGTGGGCCAGTTTTACCGTTACAGACTCGAAGCACTCCAGAATTCTGTCTCGTTCTTGATCTCGACGAAACTTTGGTTCACTGTAGCCTTAACAAGCTAGAGGATGCCAATTTGACTTTTCCCGTGCTCTATCAAGATATCTGTTATCAAGTGTTTGTGCGTACAAGACCACATTTAAAGCGCTTTCTCGAAAGAGTGGCCAGCATGTTCGAGGTTATCCTCTTCACCGCTTCCAAAAAAGTTTATGCAGACAAGCTACTGAACATTTTGGATCCTACACGTAAATACTTTCGACATCGCCTCTTTCGTGAACACTGCGTCTGTGTTCAAGGTAACTACATCAAAGATTTGAACATTCTTGGCCGGGATTTGGCAAAAACCATGATTGTAGACAATTCTCCACAGGCGTTCGCCTACCAGATTTTCAATGGCATTCCAATTGAAAGTTGGTTTGTCGATCAGACCGACAGAGAGCTGCTAGAACTTCTACCTTTCTTGGAAATGATCGCCAACCGTAAAGATGATGTTAGGCCACATATAAGAGACAGGTTTAGAATGCACGAGTTGGCAGGGTTTAGGTGAGGCTTGATATTAAAAAAAGACTTGCAAGTAAACCATTTAACAGTTTCGAAGTCTTCTTATGTTGACAAGCAAGTTTAATCACTGGATAATTTTTAACCTCAATTCGATTTCATTGCCGGGGAACGTTTTTACATAGTTGTTACCACTTCATTGCAATTAATACAGATTTTTATTCGTCAATGAAAGATGTTAGTACTATCAAAATAATCTTCCTCTGATATTTGACCGCGGGTTGTCATGTTATGGATACAGTTTAGACAGGCATACAACTCAAAGTTAAAACACAAGATAAAATTACAAAAGTTAGTCATCACATCCCGTCGATGCAAGTTGACTTAAAAATCATTCTTTTTAATTCAGGAGCGTGTTTGATGTGTGTGTCGATTCGACGACTAACATTTCTGAAAATGTAGTATGTTTTTCTCGTTGAGACTTTGGGCTCTGCGTGTTTTACTGTCTTATTTAAAATACGTGAAAACAATACTCCATGTACAAAAAGATTTATATCAAATTTATGTGAACTATACAAGTTTTATGAAAACTGGTATAAAGAGGCTTTTCTCTCGATTTTTACCTGTACACTTTTAGCCAGACTTGTTTATATAAGAGGTACTGTGTTTTAGACAACATTTCAATACTTTTGGAAAAGAAATATTATGTTGTACATGGTCGGCGAGGATACACTCCCTTCTGAAAATTTTGATTTCCTGTAAATTTTATTAACGTTTGGCTATATCCATGGTACATGGTACATGTTTGTGGGCATAATAGACAAGACAAATATTTTAACGAATTGAAGTTTTTTCAGGGATATGTATTTCTGAATATTTCTTAAGCATGGCATAGTTTGTAGATAGAGTACAGAAGTGACCTTATGGGTTTTGTCGAACTAATTAATTTAGAGGTTATGTACTTATATTTTTAGTAAATAATTTGTTTGTAAGAGAATATTTACTGTGTACTGGACTTTTTAGATGCATGTTTAACATTGATTATCACGGTATTAAGAAGCCTTTCTATCAACATTTGTATTCCCCACAAGTTTTCCACGCGTTTCTTATGGACTAGTTCAGAGTATGCCTTGAAGTATCAAGACAATTTATCTTATCTTTGGTGGTTATTTTATAGATTCCTAGACACTTAAATGAGAAATTAGTTTCTTGTCACTCTTGGAGTTTATGTTTCTTCTGTAAGCACTACGCAACTCTCACCAAGTACTTGTATGAAGGAGTGTCATGGCTTACTGAAACTCGTAAAACAGCAAAAGTTTGGCAAAAACGGTGAAACCAAAGTAAAAATCAATGAAAACTGAAAAAGTTCAGAGTATGGTAATCAGGGAACAAACCGATCTCGCAGATTTTAAAAGAACCAATGATCATCTTTGCAACTTATTTTAAACTGTGCAGAAATCGCACCTTTTTGAGGAATTGGCTTTTAAAGAAAAACAGAAAAAGATGCCAGTACGTGATGTATGGCAAGATGAAAAAACACTTTCTTTAGAAAAATACTGAAAACGTTGAACTTTCATAGAAGCAGCAGGGAAAACATTTTGAGATATGTGTAAACTGCTATAAGTATCATTTTTTGATCAAATGAATAAGGAATATATTATTTGCCTGAAATTCCTTTCATACAATTATTTAGATATCTTCTATTCATAACACAAGATACAACATGTTAATCTACTGAAAAATATTATTACAAGCACAGAATTTTGGGGTGTCTTTATCGATTTTATTTTTAATACAGACCTGATAGAGCCACAACTGTCATTTACAATATTTAGATCAATGATGGTGCAGTTCGCGTTAGTTTAGATCATAGAGTGTTTGACCCTCTTATTCCCAAGAGTAAGTCAGTTAAAGTAAATTTCAAAGAAAATTCTTAATTCTAATGTTATTGTTAACTAATAGTACCACATGAAAGTATTACAAAAGAGGTTTCTTTCATTTGAATGGTCACACCATAGGATTTAATTTACTCGCTCAAAAGTTAGCTCTAAGATACTGTTGTTGTAATCTGCTCTGTTTTCAGAAATGCTTTTGATTCATTCAAGGAAAAATATTATTTTGACTAGGTGGGACTGTCACCTAATATATGGTACTGAATTACAGGCATAAGTACACATATGGTCATTTAACAATAATATGGGGTTTCATCCATGCACTGTAATGATGTTGAATTGTAACCAAAGCCTCCTTAGTGGTTTGTAAAGAGACTTGTGGTATTGACCTTAACTCATGACAGTGTATGTTGGATTGGCTTAAGGCTATGTCAGCAGAACGGCCAGCAAAAACAGATATATTTCTATAAGACTTTAATGTATGATATCTATAAATATTGTAAAATTTTTTGAAGCAATAAAACTGGACAATTTTTTTTATTTACACAGCATGAATTATGTTTCTTTTTGTGGACCAAACCTGGTCAAAAGTCACTATTTGCATGTAAACGATGCATGTCTCTAGCCTTCGAACAAGCTCCCCATTTTATGTAATGAGCGAAGTGAGCTTGCAAGACCATGCAAGGAAGTAGTGAAGCCTCAAGGGGCATCTTCATTCATGCACCTCTCTCGCACGTGACTCCTCATAAGATCCCCCAAATGAAGAGCTTGTTCGTAGGTATGTCTGAACAAAAATTGCGTAGCATCCTTAATGAACTGTTTTATTCTGTGGTTCATGAATCTGGACTTGTAATCTGGATGAAGGAGGCTTTTTCATGACTGTTTATCTCAGTTATGAATCTAATAGCTTACCAAAAAATTTCCAAGTGTTTAGGTGTCACTTACTAAAACTTAAACCAGTTTAAACTCAAATCTTAACACTATCAGTGCACCCTGCAAATTAAACCTAACTTAGGTCACCTAGTTAGGATTACTCATAACCTTACCTGTCAGAAAACCCCAAACCCAGTGTCAAACCTAACTGGAACACGTTAGGAGTGCTCTTGTCTTTATATTACTTGTCAGAAAACCCTAAACCCAGTTAAAAACCTAACCATAACAATCCCAGAGAATCTGAGACCAGAATGGCAAATGTCATACTTTTACCAATTAAGATACAATATTAACATACCTCTGATTGTCAGGCTAAAACTGTCAATTTTGGCATCATTTCCATATCAAACATCTGTTTAGGCCACCCAAACCACCTTTTGTATATGAATACAAGTGGTGGCCTGCTTCCTCCCTACCCTCCCCCACCACCACGACATCGGGAGTACTCCGCTAAGTTATTAAGTGTTTTGAAAAAGTTTGTCTGAAATTTGGCACTGCTTTTGGCCATTTGGGTCTGAAGGGTATTCTTCTAGTTTTTGGAGATTGAATGATGGTGCACTAAACAAGGGGACCCACCGACACCCATCCCTGGTAAACTGTCTGCAGTTTTAAAGCTTTTCTTTTTAAATTAGCGGCATGGACATCTGTGTATCCAATGGTGCCTAGGAAAACTTTTTCCCCTGTCTTCTTCACGAAGCTTCAGTTCTTTTGTTCAGCGGAATTGCCATTACAATCTGCGCGATACAACTGAAGATGGCGGCAAAAATTTGACAGAAGGGGTCTCGAAGAACAAGAGATCGTTCTGGTCATGGAGTATGGTTAAAACCACAATACCTGTGACGAAAAGTTATTCTTAAATTGTAGAAGGATGAACTTTAACGAAGAGGAGCTTCAATCTTTATCGTTTCAATGCGAACAGGTTAGCAGTAGTTGTCACGGTGTGCCGGAAGTGTGTAAAATGCCAAAGTCAGAATAGTAACCTTATTCACTCATTGATTTTATATGAAATTTTGCCTCAAGTAAATTTGATTCTTCATGATGAAAATTAAAACAAACTCGTGTTTTCATTTAAGCTATATTCGCAAACATCAGGGGTCTCATTGTGTTGTTTTAGTTTATAATAATTTCCAGAATTTTTGAGCGCTGATCTCCATCAAGCTTAAGTTATATCACTGTACATGTTAAGGTTTTGGGGCCTGTTACAGTTATAGATTTGACGAAGCTGTGGCACTGAACAACCCAGCTTTTTTCCGTAGCTTTGTAAGATGTTGCTTATGTTTGACCAAATTAACAACAAATAACTTAAAAATGTCTGAAAATCCACACATGTTCTTATTCCTTTAGGGTTGGGGGGGGGGGGGGGGGCTACTCCCATATGTGGGCCATATAGGTATGTGCCCCCCGATAAGTTATGGTTTGTTAGGGTCTCGAACCTTAAACAGGGTATCATTTTTGCCTTTGTTAGCGTTATAATCCTGGTGTGATCCTTTTAATTACTAAATTTCACCTAAAATTCAAGTGCGTTAATGCCCAGCCACACCAGAAACAAATCATTGTTAAAATTAAACTTTACCTTTGTGTATAAGGAATGCGATGTAAAGAAGATTTGTGTGCTTCCTTTAAATTCTTACTTCTTGTTTTTCCCTTAACAGATTTCGGCCTCAAATAGAGTATAAGTTTTTGTCTGTCTTGTCCTTGCATAGGGTCAGGTTTAAGACCCTGGGTAGCACAGACTTATCCGAAATTTTTGGGAGAACCCTCCCCCGCTCCCCCTGCTCTGCTCCAGGTGTGTACTGTACACACCATTCATTACCTCTTGCAGGCATTGTTGACATTGTACGGTGGGCAAAATCAGGCTGACAGAGATGCAGCCCATAAGTGGTTGTTGGCGACACAGAAGTCACAACACGCATGGCAACTGTGCTGGAGGCTGATGCACAGAGAAAAGGTTTGAAAACTTTATCAACATTTTACTGAGTACAGTTGATACACTGTTGATTGTCTGTTCGCTGACAACTAGCTTTGGTCATCTGTTGTCTATTATTGGTGGTTAAAATTGTTTTGACCAACATCTAGTTTGGCTAGGCTGTTATTAAGCAATTATTGGATGAGGTTGAGCATGATATCATGAATTATCAAAACCTCGCGTTGTTCCTCCCAATTTCCCAATTAAAATCATCTTAAACCGAATAAAACAATAGGCAAAGAAGACATTCAGCCAGCCTGAAAACACTGGGGTCACCAGAAAAGTTTTTTTGCAATGTCTGCACTTTATCACGTCAAGTTTTGTTGATTGGATGCTTACCAATCAGATGTTTCATAGTGAGTCTGATGTATAATAAAAGAAATTGTTGTTCCCAATTTCCCACAAAAGACAATACATGTCGAGAGGGGAATGTGGTCAAGAAAAGTCTTTTTTTGACTTTAACTTTTTGTCTTATTCAAGATCACAGAAATTCAATTTTTTGGTGCATCCATGCTCCACTTCAAGATTTCCAAAAACTGGTTGGTAGATTTTTACTTTCATATGTTTTATACACTGTGATTAAGTAGTCAAATGTAGGATCTAAACCTTTTTCAGGGTTTGTTTGTCAATAACTTTGCATAATGTAACAGAGAAATAACTAGCATTTCTGTTTTGCGGAATTTTTACCGGTAGTATTTTTTTCTTTCAGGAACGAGCTTCAAGAGCAACATTACAATGACTTACGATCAGAACTTTTCAACCACATTCTTGTTTTTTCCAGTGGACCACGTATTGTTCTTACAAGACTCTGCATTGCAGTAAGTGTTTTTATATGTAATTATGCTATGCTTAAAGAGGAACTGAAGGGAGCTAGGGGTGGCACCAGAAAATTCTGTCAGGACTTGTCGAGATACTTGCCAGCTATATAGATACTATTTTATTGAGAATTCTTTAACAATAATTCAAAATTTCCAACAAAAGTGGCGCTTCTCAGACTACCCTAAATCTGCCCATGGCTGAGCCCAGAAGCTCAGACACTGTGACATCTTTAGTACTCAACATGGTATTTTACACAGTGTGGCTTTTGAGCTAAATTTTTTCTTGTCTAAGTCACCACGCCTCTTCAGGTGCTGCCAGAGGTATAACCTTAGTTATTTGGGATGTAATAAATTGAGAGAAATAGTTGACAGTGTTCTTGTTTTATAATTATTGTGTAAATTTGTTTTCAACAGCTAGCTGCCTTTGCTCTCAATACTATGCCTGAACACTGGAGTAATGCAGTCACCGACATTATCACTACATTTCAAAATGCCCCTACAAGCTCATCACAGGTGAAATCCTTATCTAGTAGAGCAGTAGTAGTAAGGTTGTACTGTTACATTTGTTTAAATTAATAATTTACCAGAATTAGATGCAAACCCAACTTCTGATCTGATTAATGCCTTGACTGAATACGTACAGTATCTGTCATCTCACATACTTGGAACAAGGGAAAAAAATCACATTTTCCTAGAGATAAGCAGTTTTGACAAGAAAAACTGAAAAAAATTCAGGCTTGAACAGGATTCAAACCCATGACCTCTGTGATACTGATGTAGTATTCTTACCACTTAGTTTTTACAACTGCATAATTTGCACATATATTTATCACTGTGAGGATCTTTCATGCGTTAAATCTTTCCTCTGTAGTTCAGTATGTTAATTTTTGTACATTCACTTTCATTTCACTACCAACAGGATTACTGAAAATGACTTCATCTCCTTACTATGTTTGTAACTTTTTCTGCAGGGCAGTGTTTGGCCCATCTCGATGCTTGAAATCCTTACTGTGTTGCCGGAAGAGGTTTGTTTATGAAATAGTGTATTTTCAAGTCATTAGAGAGGCTACTTGACAGGATCAAGGCCCTTAAGACTGTGAGGTCATGTATGAAGCTGTTAATCCTTTCCTAATTTGGTCATAACTACAGTTATATAGGCAGTTGCATTGTCATAGAAATGGCTTAAAAAGTTGTAAACGTTTCCCCTTGTGGTTTTGTAGCAGATAAATATTTCTTCATGGCTGAGCTGACTAAAAGGTTTGAGAAATTACCCATATTGCTAAGCAACCTTATTGTGCCTGCTTTGCGACAAAATTGAAATACCTGTGTCTTTTTTGTCTTTAATTTTTTCCTATTAGTTTCACTCAAGTGATTTTGCACCTGGAAGAAAAGTTACTCTGAGAGGTGAATTAAATTCTGGTGTACCCCAAGGTATGACACACTAAACACTGTCTTGTATATTTTTCTTGACCCTTAAAGAAAACATACTTTGAACTATGATTTTCTTGCAGCTCATTTAGTTTCCTTACCTTTGACTGAGGCGCTCTTGGGCTTGGACATGCATGTCCTTAGCCTGAATTTCAAACAAATTTAGAAAGAAGCCATGTCCCTGTCAGATTCACTGTCACAGCTTCAATCCATCTTTGTTTCTTTTGTGCCCATTTCTTCTGTCTTATGTTGACCACTGTTTCAAGGCCATGTCATTTTCAAAATTTTCTGTACCAAGGCCTCACGAAAAGCAAAATTTAAGTAAATCAATAAGTGTAATTTTGTTCCTTACAGTTGTCAAGGTTATCCATCAAACATTATTACCAACACAGTCTGTTCAAGTCAGGCAACAGGTACTTACACCTTCTGCAAATATGATTTTGTTTATCCATCATTACTTTTAAATTAATGTTAAGTTTCTGACTTTATTCTTTACTGCTTTAAGACACTCAAATGTCTGATCAGCTGGGTGCAGTTTGGAGTGACAGTTGTTGATCTTGATGATTCTCTACCACTGGTCTTTGAATCAGTACATAATCCAGAGTTGTTTGATGAAAGTGTGGACTTGATTGTTGAGGTTGCCTCGCATCCGTCAGGGACAAAGTAAGCAAGTTCTGACATATTCTTCTTAAAACCCGATCATCATTTTCAGCCTGTGCCCACGAGCAAGTAAATGGGCAAATGTCAAATCTGAGCCCACAATTTATTTTCAAATAAAGATTTGGAATGCCTGTAAGTGGTCAAAGTCTGACTGTAAGTCTTATCCTTCTCAGATATCCAAGTTATATGTGGAAATTTGTGTCAAGTGTATTGGGGCTTGGTGAAACATTAAGGACAGCCTTGCAGTCAGGAGATATGGTGAGTCATACTAAAATATAGAAGTTTTCCCATTGCCATGATAGTTTCACATATTATCATCTATCAGTTGATCAGAACTCACTAGGACTTAGGTATTGGTTTCCCTACCCTCTATGGGGTAGTACAAGAGAGTCTCCAGATTTTAGATCTCCAGAGGTTGGCATCTCTGCAAGTGAGTATTCTCGTCTCAGCTACAACACTATCTGTTAAATAACTACACTGCTGTTTTTCTTGGGGATTATACACACCAACTTTACGTTCACTTTTCATACTCCTTTAAATTCCCTTTTCGTTTGATCACAGGACACTTCAAGAGGGTTATGTCGAGTCATGGTCTCTCTGGCCGAGACACATCTGAAGCTGCTTTTTTCTGCTGATACTGAGGAACGGGAATTACAAGGGTTTACTCTTGTACAGTTGTTATTGGTAAGTACTGCAATCGAACCCTGCTTTATGGACACCTCATTGTTACAGACAGTTTTCCTTACATCCCTGGGGAAAGTAACCCCTCACATTTTCTCTAAATTCAACCCCCTTGATGCAGACGCCCTGGTATTACAGACACTTTCCAATTGGCTCTCTCAGTGTCTCTTTTGATGGGGTTTGACTCTACCAAGAATAATTTGCTTTGCTATCTGTGAAAGAAAAGAGAAGAAAGTTTCAAACCAATATTGCAAACATGGATTTACGAGTGGTCTCGTTACTGGCTTTGCCTGGAAATATTACGGTTCAACAGTTTTGTGTGAACAATGTCAAAGTGTCCAGTCAAATTTTTCACCTGGTCGAAAAGTTGACTGGTATCCTGTGAATGTAGCCTTAGTTCACTCAAAAATTCGCTGACCTGATATCAACCACTGCTGGAAATGCTACTACTCTTCTCTGATTTGCTAAGAGCTTTGCAATTTTACAGATGAATCTTTAGAAAATCTGAAAATTTAAGATGCTCACAGTGACCCAGGCCTTTTGTGAGAGCAGGGCTGCCCAGCTAAGATTTCAAGCTCAAACTGGGTACGTGTATATGAAATTAGTAGGCAGGAAAATGAACAACAAAGGAGTTCTTTTGGTTTTATTTTTCTTTTGTTTGCTATGATCACGTAGGCAGCGGTCATGCTCATAGTAACCAGGGGAAATCTCTGGCCCCTTTGGCCCTTAGTGATAGCCCTGTGTTAGAGAGGTTCTTTGGGCTTATGGTTTCCAGACAACACCAGCCTTTGAGAATGGGTGTCTTTTGTCATTTTGAGCTTTCTGTTTTCGACATGTAGGAGTGCACAGGGGCACCAGGCTGGTATCCTGTTGACGAACAATGCAGTGAGATGACATTCAACTTTTGGTACACCTTACAGGTTTGATACGCTGCAGACAATTAACTGTGTTTTGCTTTTGTTCAAACAACAGTCTGAAGTGTATTTGCAATATCTAAAATTGTTGTAAATTATTTAATGTTTTAGGATGATGTAAGTGCCGAGGAGCCAAGTCTAATGGTTAAACACACAGCTATGTATGGCCCAGTACTATTATCACTTTGTGAGGTACTTTAAATTAATACCAAACGTTATACTTTTTCAAGCTGAAGAAAATCTGTCTTTTAAAATATAATGAGCTCACTGCAATGTTTAAAAAAATCGCCGTTTTTACATGTGTGAAAAGAAGCCCTGCCCGGTATGGTTTTTCTGCCGGCTCAAAAGCTTTCCATTGTAGTGTAAATATAGCCTAAGTCAACCCATTATGGCATGAATGTTCTCCACCTCTTTCTATTTTTTCTTGCTCTAGCATCCACTTTCTGCTGCTTTCTACTATCTGAATGCATGGAAGAGACTATAACCTTCCTTAGTTCTTTTGTCTTATTTATTTCGGTATTTTCGATATTTTCAGGTGTTTATGCGAAAAGTACAGTTTCCTCCAGAAAATATTTGGCAGGGATTTTCGTCAGGTAAGAAGCAATCTGTGACACATGAATATGGTTTACCAATTACGTGAAATTTATTTCACTAAACTACTAGTAGCCCTAACCCATACAATGTAGTAATAGTTGACAGAGCAAATGAAATGTGTGTGCGCACAGAGATTCTCCCACAGGAGACTTGACATGGCAAGTTTCACGTGTTTTCTTTGTTGAAAGATCAATGGCAAAATTAAGCGACTGCAAGTAGTTTATCACCTTTCGATGTTCATCTCCCATGAACTCTGATTATGTTCACACTTAAACAGGGTGATTTATTTAAGGATTATATCAGACTGTTTTTGTTACATGTTTAGTGGTGTTAATAGTGACTTTTCTCACTAATCTCAGAGGAAAAAGAACAGTTTAGATGCTACAGACAGGATATTGCAGACACTATGGTAGGTGTGGGGAAACTACCCACCTACCCCTTCCCTAAGCCAACATTTTGCCCTAAGTGAGAAGCAAGTGTTAATGTTGGCTTAGGGGAGGGGAAGGTGGGCAGTTTCCCAGAAACCTATAATGATTCAGTTTCATTCCAGGTGGATGGAGGGCCGAATATGGAAGGAGCCACACATTGCTACTCAATTAACTGAGTTTTGCATTTTACTGGCAGAGTTTACAAATCTGTGTTTTGGTTGCCGGCTGAATTTGTAAACATGGTTAATAGTATTGAAGAAGAGTAATATCTCATTTTCTCCACCAATTCAATAGTGACTATTGGACGTGAAAACTGTAAATCTTGGTGATACAAGCAGTAACTTTTCCTCAAATAGTAAACACGTTAACAAGTTGTGTTTTTGTTTTCAGATGTATGTTTACTGTTTATTGAGAGGACACTGTTTACAACACCTGCATCACATGTTATCAACACTTTTATCTGGTGAAACAGAGGGTAGTTGGCAGGTAAGTGCTTCTTCACTGCCACAGGCAATCACTTTTAGGACCTGTTGCCCCCAGCTGAGTTACCCAAAAATCTCCCTGTCAAACATTTATCCTACAAATGCATTAATTTTTTTTGTTAGTTTACCGTTCTGCATGTGGTGAAACAGGAATCATAGCCTGGTAGTGTGTTTTGGCAGCTTCACCACGGTTAAAGTTTCCTTCACAGCGCTGCAACAACTAAAACTGCGAGCTATAAAGACAGTAGGATTCCCTGGTCTCTTATAGCCTGTTCAGGCATTCAGATAGTGGAGTGCAGTGCAAAGTCAGACAGACCACCCCCCACCCCACCCCCTTGCTGTTTTTCCTGCTCACATCTTTTTGCGTCGTTCCCACATTCTGAAAATCTGGAACAGGCTGTTTTTCTCATTGCATTAACCATAAAATAGACGTGCTGGTACTGTAACCATAACTCAACAAAGTGTTGCTTATAAAGAAACCAGGCTGTAAAAACACCAACTGTATGTCTCTAGTCCCTAGATGCAACGCTTTATCTGATTCAAGCAGTGGCGGAATATGTTGACCCTTGTGAGGAAACCTTTATCCCTGCAATTCTGTCACTGTTGCCAAGGCTACCCGCTCATTCATGCGTGTCTCAGACAGCTTTGCTGATGGTTGGTAGGTGTGCATGAGGTATACTTGATAAACTGAACACTAAATTCACTTACATCTTTCCCAAATTTCCTGTAAAAGTGTTGAATTCTTTACCTGTTACCACCTTGTACAGATATGTGAACTGTGCCACAGGTGCATTTGAGTTATCACACTTTCTCAGGATTTTGTGTACGGAGTCAAAAGCCAGAACCACCTTGTAAAACCGTAGCTTTCAGAATCAGATCCCTCAGGGTTTTGCTTTCTTGTGCAAATTAGGGCTTTTGCTATATAAACTTCACTGGAATTTCTAAATTCAAATTATGAAGAAAAAACAAAATGAATTCTGATCTTAGTCATAGTACAAATAGCCTTTTGTAGCTCTAGACAGTTTGTCAATGTTTCGCAATGTTTAACAAATACAGCTGTAAGTTGCGCTATCGGTAAAGTAGCGCTTGGTGTAGCAGGGAAATTAAATGATAACAGGACAAGAGACTTTTCAGTCTCTTTTTCAAATTTTTTTTTTCTGATTTTCGTGCCTTCAGTGTACTTGACTAGAAGAGCTGAATTTGTGTAAAGCTAACACACTTCTATGGTCTTCAATCACTTAATCAGGTTCTTATTCCGAGTGGCTCAAATGTCACCCTGATCACCTGCGCTCAGTACTTCCGGTTCTACTGGCTGGTTTGTCTCAAGAACACTTGGAGTCTGCTTCAACTCAGGCCCTACGTGGCATCTGTGAGGAGTGTGTTCAAGATTTAGAATCCGAGTCTCTAACGGAGATTCTTACCCATTGTCAGGTAAGGCAAATTTAGTTTTGTGCGTTTGCGCTTTGTGATTGGCGTTAAAATCTCGCGTTACTTTCTCCACCAATCAAAAGCAGAGCCGAGCCAAATGGTGACGGAACTTAGTCTTACGTTTTTCCTACAAAAAGTGTTTTCGTATTTTACCTGACAATTTTTTTTATCTGCTCTTCAGGCGGCTCTTTCAGGCGGAGTTATGAAGGTAAGTTGCTCTGTTTGTGCTATCAACCCTCAGCCTTGTCAATTCTCACTATCATTTGCCACTTTAGAACCGAGACGGAAACTGGGTCCAGTTAACTTTCGCAAAGACTTCAGGGACTGTTACTAAGGACAGGGAAAACTTAATGCAAGGCCTGCAATACCTCAAATGACTGATTTACTTGAGGCCAATATTTCGGCTTACAAAATTAGACTTCGTCGGGGTCAGAGCTACTCTGAAAAAGAATACTACAACGACTCTTAACATTCAAATTTAAATTTACATGAGAGGTTAATGAAAAACTAAAAATGAAAACAATAGATAGCATGATAGATAGGTAAATAATTATACAATAAAGTGATCAAAAGTTACAGTTCAACGTTCGTCCTTTCGGTTTAAACCATCTGGTGAAAGACTTTTGCCTGTATTTATCAGGTAAGCTTCTCTTGCTTAACGGCGTGACATACTATTAAAAGTTTAGATGAAAGTTCAGGCGGAATAAGTTCTATGACTGTGATGGAGTGGCCAGGTCGATTGGAGGCGTGTCCCTAGTAGAATCCCAGAAACAATTTCGGGAGACACTTCGCTGGGCTCCAGTTCCCTTCTCGCCGAGCCTCCTCCAGTAACTGTTCAAACCTTACTTTTTGACAGGAGCGTGAACGTATTCGCTGCGTTGAGTGCATTGGACATGTGCTATCTGTGCAAGATACAGCTGAGGCTATAGAGAAAGTGCGAGTTATATTTGATCCTTATGTGAAAGGCTTGGCACAGCTTGTACAACATCAGGTATTGTATTGTGTAATACATGTAACTGAGCTACTATATGCCTGTTTAATGGTGAGAAATGTACTGTTTGTTATACCAGTTAACTCATAGAACACTGAACCGTTAACTTTATAAAAGCAACAAGCCGAATTTTCTATTAGATTACTAGCGTAAACTAATCTGAAAATCCACTTGATATGACGGTAGAACACGAGAAAAGCTTGTAAATAACGAGCGGAATAGTAAGTTGTTTAGATACACAGATAACTTTCGAAAACTATTTTGGTTATGAAATGGTTAAGAAATTCTGTTATGCCTATAACAGTTTCAAAAAATTTGTGGTCGCTCCGAGTTCAGGTGATCTATCTGCAACAACCGATGGGTTGCTCATCAAGGACCAATTTCTATTAATTCTTTGAGAATGTGTTTGAATTAATAGTCGTAGTTGATGTTTTAATAAATTGGGTTCTTGTCTCTACAGCCTACTCCAGAGCTCAACAGAAACCTCCAGTTTCACCTGCAAGTTTTTATTTTGTTGTTCAAATGTCTGGACCCTGACAGTATTGAAAATCATCCCCACCCGGTAAGTAGTGGATATGATTAACAAGTTACATGTACTTGTATCGAGTTTTCAGATTGGTGCATGAAACCAAAGCTGAAGATTTTGAAAGTGATTAAAGTCATCACATGAGCATATACCCAGCACCAATGGCGAAAAAACGTTTACCCAATGCCAACCGCGGGAACACAAGCACTCAGTGATCAGGATTACATCCACAGACTCAAAATTTGCAACTGCATTGCAGGTCACAGTGATGGACAGTTATTATGCTAGAGACATTACAGTCGTCTTAAGACGACTTTGACGTCTAGTTATAAAACGGTAAATATGACAGACGCATTCAACGTTAGCATTAACTTTTTCTGTTAAGTACGTTGTTAACAGTCGACTTTAACGTCTCAGACGTTAACTGCTTCTAGTATAAAAACGGGACGCCGTAAACTGGAAAGTATTTATGCTCAGCTACTCCAGAAACGGCTGGAAAAGATCGGTGTTTTGTCTATTATTCAGAGTACTCTTTTTTTCAATGCTTTCGTCAGCTTTTGTGCCTCGCGTTTTTACGTCAGTCGACTTAAACGTTTCCAACAGTAAAACGGCCAATGACATTAGGAGTCAAACAACCTCGTTCCCGGGGTTTCTCTTGAACCCGGCAACGAGGCTCTCTTGGAGGTGAAGCAGGTTTAGATTTTAGTCTGTTTTCTCCTTTACCTTGCAGGCAGCTGTTGTATTAAATGATATACTACCTTCGTTGGGATCCATGGGTCACTGGTTAGACGATACCCACATCCAGCAAGTATGAACTGTGAAATTTCATCACAAAACTGTCTTATTGGGGAAGTTGAGCATTTTGTTAATATGTATGGACATTCATATTCCGCTTGCGCCCGTGGTTTTTGCAAATGTGCTCGTGTAGAGTAAACTTACTTATACATTCTGTTGTTGTTGGAGAATCTTGCGGTTATTTTACTCGGGTTATCTTCTGAAGTGGTTAATGCTGCAGTGTTTCATGAAGTGACCTTGTCACCCGTTTGAGCCTGTACCAGGGGCCCTAATTTTTCTTGAGTGTGGTCGAGTGAGCATACGTCGCGTGGAAGGCGGGGTTTAGAAAATAAGGGACGTTACCGTCCTTTCTTCGCCTCTGCTCGGATGGAGCGATTTTTACTCTTGTTCACTCGACCAACCACTTGAATTTCGCCCAGAGCGATCCTAGAGGGATAAAGGAACATAATACACCTGGGTTATTTACCAATTGCAAAACTTTCCGGAAAAAGTCCGGTTGGAGAGTAAATGGAACACGACCTGGTCGTTGCAGCGGACAATTGCCGGGCGGGAGAAACGGAACATCTGAAAAGGTAGTCCTGTTTTTCGGGACCGATTTTTCCAAACAGAAATATGATAGAGCTTCCTGATAGAGCTTAACGATAACTGTTTTATTTCTCCACTCTTCTCTAGACGTTTTGCCTTTGTTTGGAGAGAGCAATGGGCACAATAAGAGATGACATGGGAACGCTGGTGTCTGCGCTTTCTGAGCTGGTCGTCGGCTATTTCACTGTCTCGCCACGCAGCGGTATTCTGGATGTAGCAGCCACGGTGAGGATCGAACATTTATGGTCTAGTGATACGAACTGAACTTGCAAATAGCTACAGTGCATGCATTGTAATACGTAAACGGATGGAAGCTTTGAAATTGTGCAATAAATTGAAGCCTTTATCAGAGCTAGTTATTTGTTTTGAAATCAATCAACTTTCCTTCAGAGGGTGCGTCGCTACGCATGAGCAGTGACCTCTTTATAAGCTTGGATTGAAATTGACGTAGCCTGGAGCGAAACGGTTGCGGAAGAAACTAACGCAGGTTTTTGGATAAGCGTTGAACACTCCTTCTAGAAATGGAAATAGGCGAATCCTTGTTTACATTTTTTGTCTTATTAACATATGCTTGTTATTATCTGATGAAGCTAATAAAATAAAATCTCTGAAAATTTGAGCCCGATATACCGAATAGTTTCGGAGAAATTCTCTTTGAAAACCCCCAAATTTTACAAAGAATGTTCGAGCTCACTAACGTTTTTGTCACCAAACAATTTGGCAGCTTTTGATTACCATATTTCCTTTGTTATTGATTGCAACGAACTGAAAATTGCACAAACTGCTCAAATTAACCAGCTCTTTCAACTTTTGAGCCTAATTTTTACATACGGCGACGTCACTTATGGGTTAACTTATATGCTACTGAGCAAAAATGACGTCAGCGAGGATTCACCCATACCACATGTAGGTTTGACCCAAAGCACGGGACCATGAATGCTTTAACAGTCACCAACTTAGCTGATGATATTTTGCTGTTTCAGCTTGTAGGAATGTACGGGATGCTGGACGAACATTATCAGACCATCCTGCTAGTATTTCAAAAAATCACTGCGTCATCACTTCAGCTGTTACAAAGTAGTAAGTCGTTTTTTCCTCTCGTTTTTAGTTGTGGTTGTCATAACTGAGTCATCCACATTCAACAGGCGGCTTTGCGACCGTATGATGCATTGTTCAACACTGCAACCTGATTGGTTAGTTCTTGAAGCGGCGGGGCACGGCTTTCATATAGCTTAGGTAAAAATTAATTGTTTCTTAGTGCGCGGTAATTTGCCGTGGGGACTGAGCACCATAATATGATTTTCGTCAGCGTCACTTCAAGTTCAGTATGTTGTCGGAAGTATTCTTATGATAGAATGAAGTGCTGAGGGCCGGGTTTCATACTCCTCACTATACTGACTTGGGCGAAGATTCGCTTCCAAATTGACCAGAAATCTTCAGACACCGTGAGAAATCTGCAAGTATCAAGCAGGAATGTTAGGGAATTTCCTGAATCTTCCTGCAAACATGAGGACTTCCTCCTTGATCTCATCAGGTTACCAAGATCAGTTTTTTTATCTTCAAATCCCTTGTTAAATTGATAATAATCCTTTTTTTTCTCTTGGGAATTTAGATCTGCGAGAATATCCGGACATTCTTCAGTCGTTTATGCAGTTCGTCAGCCGCGTAAGTGAACTGGGCACTCTAATCCTGTTTTAAACGATATACTAGATTCAAAGTACTATCCTATCGGTTTAGAATACATGGATGGAATATGCTTTTTACACTAGCTTGGCGCGCATTTTTGCCAGAGTTTACGAGATTATATTCCGAACTGAGCAAGTAAGACCTCGAAAAAACACGTTAGCAAAAGCTGTTTATATACATAAAAAAGAATAATAATAATAATAAGCTTAAATAAACTGAGGCTAAAATATTTGTTAACAATTGACCAGTCTCATGAAATGCGAAGAATTAAATGAATTACACTTTAGTTCAGAAATGCAGTCATTGCGATTCATTAGCAAAGAAGTCACTAAGTATTGAAGATCAAATACTATGTATAGTTTGTATTCACCTTGCAGGCTCTTAAAAGTAACGCCAAATTGGTTTTCGAAGGAGACAGTTACCGAAACATTTTTCAATGTG